GGTACTCCCGTGGTGTGTGTAACAGGTTAGGCCATAATTTTATTATGATTTCCCTTATTTTAAGACTATTACGAGTTTGGGGACTGTCTGTGTTAGCAAAGTGAATATACCCCCTAGGGAAGGTTTCAGTCCTGTTACAAATCTTGGTGTGAAGTAGACGAACAAAATTAGTTACCACTTCTGGAGCTCCCCTTATTCTATACAATTCTATCTTTATGTTTCATTTTTACAAGTAAATATTAAATGAAAATATTGTTTGTTTTATTTTTTATTCACTACATTCAATAGTTCCTATCTGTTTTGGAATACTCCAAAAATATTATATGCAGACCAATATCCTGAAGTTGTTGCGTTTGAAACGAAATTACCAGAAACACAAAATAGAAATACATACAATAAACTGAAAATATTTCAAAATAGAAGCTAAAATCCAATTCTATTAGAATAATGATCAGTAATGAAAAAAAAAAATCACAGATAGAACTTGCAGTGAATGATAAAATTTTGTTGTTTGTTTAAAAACTACTTTTTTTTAAATCTTCATCTTTTAAAAGCGGAATCGACAGCACAAAACTTCTTTGTGAGAGTGATCACTGAGGTCTAATAATCCTATTGTGATGAAATATTGATAGTATTGTTCAATATTCACTCCGGAAAATGTTGTTATTATTTCAACATAAAACGAGTAGTTTCCTTTGTATTGTTTGCGATAAATCCTGTTTAAAAATTTGAACGTTAGCGTTATTTTGACTTTATAGGTTTATATATTTAAAAAATCTTTTATTTCATTTTAGTATAGTATTGTAATTCGAAAAAAAACTTTCAAATTTGCAAAACTTACTTATCAAATTTACTTACTTGTTTACATGTATCAATTAGACATTAAAATCAAATGCGAAAAAGACATTTAAAAATAAGTAAGATATGGAAATACTATTAATTTATATTATTACATAAAATAAAAAATAATTTAATAATAAGAAATTAAAACTAAACTAATATTAATATAGAAAACACTATTCATCCTGTAGTACATTTACCTCATGCGAATTCACCGCATACACTACACACACTATTCCCCGGGTACCATATATACCCAAATAAAAAACACCCCTGGACTATTTTACTTTTAATTTCTGATCAGATGAAATATATCGAGGCTTGGTAAGTAAACCTTCAAGGCAAATGTGCTGTTTGGTGCAAAACCTAAGTCGATACCAGGTTGGAGTAACGTTATGCTACTTCCGCATATTTTCAATTTCGTCATGAATGAATCGATTGATCCATACAGTCGTATTTTCAATTCTGACAACTGCGCAGATTTACTCAACACTAGATGATGAATAAAAATTTGAATATGATTTATACGAAATTATTATAACTTACTCTTATAGGATGATGGAACCAATGATACCATCTTCTTCAGCTTCGGTACACCTTGAATATGGAGGTGGTTCGTTAACAAAAGCAGAAAGCTATGTCAATTTGGCTTCTTCTACGGGAGATTCTGCATCGACGCCACCATCGACTTATTCCGCGGAAGAGCAAGAAACCACGCGCTCATTCGATTCGAAGGAAAACGTGTCGCTCATTTCCCAACACGCTTTTGCCTCACACGACGTCAGCAACCTTGTTCCCGTAAACGATTCGACACCCACGTTGATGTATCGAGGACTAGCAGGTAATTTTAATTGGTGGTTTTGTCGTTGTAAGATTAGTGTCACGTTGATTTATTACCAACAAATAGGGTTTCAGTTGTTTGGCAGACTTGCATTTTGGCAGGTTTATCCTCATTTCCGGCAGGGTTGACTCGTTTTTGCAACCAAAATATTTGATGAATACAAAAGGCTTTAGAATTCCATACCACGATGTTGAACGTCCGCTTACCTTTTTTAGTTGAAGCTGTTGTCACGTAGACTAGACAAATGCAGGCTCACCCTGCTTCGAAAAATTATATTCTTGAAGCCCGAAGTAGGCTCGAATGTTGAATCAATCCTAGTCTAATAAACGTGGTGAAATTATTTATTCCTTCAAGATTGAAAATGGTCCCAAAAGCGCGACCGATATGGTTGTATGTATCGATGTATGGTTGATGTTATAGGCCTACCAACAGTGTCAAATTTTATTTTTTGTGTACCAAAATATATCTTGCGCTTTGTAGTGCTTAGTGCAAATTGAATGGCTTTCGCATGCCGTGCATTTTGCTAAAGTTGCGGTTACGTAATTTTTAAAATTCAGGATCGATACATTCACCGCATCCAGCAACTGAATCGTATACAGAAAACAGAGATTTCAACTCTCCCCATCCCACTTGCGAAATATCAGCGGAATCCTGTAGCTATAACGTGCCCAGCAGCATCAATGTGTGCCATTCGACGCCAATCAACGTGTCCGCAGCTTTTGTAGAATTGTCAACTTCTGTCCCAAAGGCACTGGAACTAAAACCTGATCCCGGTTTCTCGGCGCAGATGCCAGATTCTTATTGGGTTGCGAATAACCTAGTGACTGGTAATTATCAACGTGTTTCGTATCCAACAATAATAAGTGACGAATACAAAGTTCCACAACTATCAGGCGGTTCCACATCTTCGCCAAATCAACAATCTATTGCATTGAAGAACGGAGATACACCATCTTATACTACTAGACCGATGATTCAACTTCCACCTATTGATTTACCCAACCATGAGGTAAGCTTCTGTAGATAGTTGAAATATGTTAACAATGCCGGTAGACAGTTTTCTGTAAGTTATTGAATAAAGATGTCCGAGATTCTGTTAATTTACGGGAGAGTTTTCGGAAAGCACCTGTACAAATTTTAAAAATACCATCAATGCCAGCAACTAGCGAGTACCTCTTTAGCGACGGTATAAAGTCCCACTTCACCAATGCTGGTAACTCGCGAGTTTTGTGATAGTGCCCATATCAGAGTCGTCCAACCCGTGGGTCATATATGGCCCGCGCTGTATATTTCGGAATTAAATAAAAAATTATCAAGTGAAAGTATTTTTCGGGTGATGTAGTATACAACGATGTTGTACAAACGATCAGTTTATTTTCTTGAAATGCGCTCTGCCAGCCCTTTCAAACGAGTCATGAGTGCCATTTTGAATTGAAACCAACTTGAAGGAGATATGTATACATAGAAGTGCCATAGTCGCTTACACACTTGGTCTTGTACTAATCTCTCTATGAGAATTCGTTGTTCGAGTTGCCAATGTTTTAATAAAGGAGGTGTTTGCAAAAATAAGCCTGTCAAGACAGACCATTCTCGTCGTGTCGCAGAATTTGAGATTTATATAGCGGAAACTTTAATTGCAAAAGCGAGAAAGTTTTCATCATATTCCTTGGCGATTGACGAAAGCTCTATAGACATCAAGTCTATTGCTCAATTGGTGATCTTCGTGCGTGGAGTTAATGATGATTTTGAGATTACGATGATCTCACAGCCATTGTCCTAATAGGCTCGACTAGAGGCATTTTTAGTTGGCAGCGGTGATGAAAACAATGGTTGGGAAACAACAGTTTTATTGTCATAATAATTGTGAAAGTTTGGTGTGAGAGAGTTTTTTTTTTATTAACTTGTAGTCAGTGTAGCAAAACTAGAACATAACTGCCATGTTGAATAGACCGCGCAATTATTAGTAAACTACACGTGGCCCTTCAGCCAAAAAGTTTGGACGACGCTGGCCTACATATTTTGAAGACTGTTACCAATGATGGTAAACCGAGAATCTTTATCATAGTAACGGATTACTTCAAGACCCAAACGTTAATTGAACTCCAAATTAAACAAGACTGAAATTTCTACGTAGTATGGTTTACTGTTCATAGTTTCTCGTGAGTGTCCATCTCTTGTCTTATATGACGAATTTTGAATGAAACGAAAAAAACCTCATATTCGTCGTTGTCGAGAACCAGAACCAGAACAATGTTACGGCGAAAAACTCAAACCCGATGGGGCATTTGAAGAATTTTCACTGGGTTAGGTAGGGTAGGGTCGTGGCCGAAATAAAATTTTGTGATGACAAATTTCAGTATGGACTGAAGGTCGAATTGAAGTTGATTTGTAAAATTTGAACATTCGAGAACAATATAAAATTATTCATATTCTTTCTCCCACATAACAAACAATCACGATTAGGCATAGATCTATTTGAGCAAAGAAACCTTGGTAACTCGTTTTCCCCGTACAGTCCGGAATTACTCAGCGTTAAAATCCTTATCGCCTAAACTGCTTACCCATATACTGACATCTCGATGTGTTGTCGGTGGGGACGTACGAATGGGTGACTAATCAGATGGATGTCAGTTATGTATGTGGCTTGACCCGATATTTAGTTATTTAGGAAATCTGAAATTGTTGCTGTTTTTAAATTAAATATGGATTTCATTTTCTATTCATGTTTTCAAAATAGTAGGCGGTCGCTATATATTACCGTTGCTGCGTGCAGTCGGAATAGTTGTTAGTATCATTTTGAGTATATATAGAGAAATTTAACAGCGTATGGAACGGAAAACGAGGTTCAGTTATCGACTTTAATTGAATCGCGGGTTGGGTCGCATTATTGCGACCTTGGCGTTAATAATTTATGCAACCCAAAAGATCAAAACCCTCTTGTTTGAATCGGCGAAACGGCAAAAATATTTGTTGTTTGTGCATAGCCTTGAATACAGGCCACCACATAGATTATGGCCAAATTTCTCATACCTAATGGGGTCGAAAGAAAAGACTGCCGGCGAAGCGAAACGACGTTGCTCGGGCGCAGGGAACTCTCATCGCTTGAGACATGTTACGGCGTCGCGAGAAGTGGTTTGGCGAGATGCTATTCTACTTTATACGAAGCAAGTATCTTAAACAATAGAAAAGCCAAGTAAAAGCGGTCAGGTACTATGGGAAACTGTTCCATTGTTTCGATAAAGGACTAATACTCAAGATAATGCATACAGTCGTATTGATTGCGGGAATGGGGCATGTTTATTTTTAAGAACCGCTGAACGAGGCTGTTTTGTGCAAATGTTGCAGCATATATTTATAATATGCCAAGGACGGTTCAACACAAGATTGTTCAATTTTGTAGTTTAAACGAACGATGTAACGGTTACAGATATTTTTGGCCATAGCAAAGTAAGGAAATTAGCGCGAAACATCGCGATTCATCAGCCAGAGTAATAATGTTTGAGCTACGCCCGGCAGCCATTTTATTCTGCGCACTGGTACCGAGATGTTTACTTAGCCATGTTTGAAAAACCTGTGTTATCTCTAATCAAATAATTTGATAGTCGATGTATATACTAAACAAAATGTTCTCTACATCTATTGAAATAAAATAAATATCACCCTATAAATAGATAGAAAATTTTAAATTACGAAATAAAAATTTAATATTTTCCGTTTTGAGAAATAGAAATATTAGGTAAACAATTTTAATCATTGTTTCTGTGATTTCCGTATGCGATCTGGATATTCAGGGAGAAAACTCGAAAAAATGCTTACTTTTTACCCAGAGGTGAGTAGTGAATGCACTATTTGTAATTCATTATTTAATTTGAAGAGGACATAGTGTCAGAAAAATCACAGATACTTATTTGTTTATATGAAAACGTGCGAAACTTTTAGTACAATTGATTTCTATAGCTACATTTGTTAGGTTAATATGTATAAAGTTAAAAACAAAATTTTGTAATTTTGGGATACGGTTGGAATTCGAAATTCACAAAACTATGCTGTTTTTAAAAAAATTTTCATCCTACATTTTGTCTTGAAAATTTGTAACAAGTAATTTTTCGATGAAAAAGTGTTTTTCATGAGTAGAATAAGTCGCGAAAGTATATATAAGTAAAGTATATAAAAGAAGCTGCCGTTCCTCCGCCCATCTTTGAACGACGACTCAAATTTTCATTAGATAAATTGAGTTACCGGTTAAGTTATGGGTTCGCAATATGTTTTTATCTATGCATCTGCAGTTGTTTCATTTATAATGGACTTGAAATATTTTTTTATTTAAATTAAAAATTGAAGTCTTTGATTCAGAAATAAATATACGACGGAATGAAAACTAGAGTATACATGTTTTAACCTTAAAGTTCTTTTCAAAAGTATATTATGTACGAATATCTTTTAAAATCACTGGTAATCCGAAAACGTAGAAATACAACAACACATTATACTCCTTCAACCAAAATAAATATTTTCGTCACGTGGATTGTCTATTTTTTTGATTGGATTTGTTCAGTGTGTTAAATAGGAATCATTAGTTATCTTTGTTTCTGTGTAAACAATTATATAATTTTGACATCGAAAAAACGAAAATTCAAATTATTTGAAGTATCAGAATAAACCTAAACAAACAATATTTAATGGAATAGATACTTTTGAATCTAATGGTCATAATGATCAGGTGACAGGTGAGGACAATTCCAGAAATTTTGCATGTTGTTGGATGCAATATATCTTTACATTTTCAGCTACATGTTTTGTTTCATTGTCCAATCAGTTGCTTTATTAAATACGGAAAAAAATGCACAAAAGTTACACACAAGACTTACTTAGTGGATATAAAAAATATAGAAAAATATAGCGTGACACTACAGGACGGCAAATCCACCATGCATTAACGTGACATTGTGTTGTGCTGTAAAATTTTGCGATGGTAATACGGGAGCCCATAATATTTTCTGGTGCAGTAGCTGAAGGACCCCTCTATGTGTTGCTTAAGTTACTTAATGTAACACTGTAAATCCATGCCAATAATGTGCATATTGTATGTGACACTACAGGACATGACACAACAAGACATTTTTCCACTTCGAAACAGCGGCCTTTATCATCTCTTAAAGTTCTGGTAATAAATCGTTAAATGGGTGAACCCATATCCTACAGCACTGCAAACATTTAAACTCTATTAACTCAAATCCAGTGCATCTATTTCCTATTAAATAACTGTTCCACATTTCAGGCCAATTTTTATAAACCATCTAAAACCTGGGTGAAAGTTTAACCTCTTCGGTGAAATGAATGCAGTCCAATAAAATTCCAATGTCTTTTAATATAAAAAAATACCAAAAAACTACTTTCACTACACTTTTAAAAAAATTGATAGAATTCAACTTTTGCTTGGAATGGCCCTAATATAATATTTAAGTAAAGTCTTATGCAAGCGTTGATTAGGATGTGTGTTCTATTTGTACGTTATTTTTGATAAAATTGCATAAATTTGCGTGTGATACACCAAAATATACCTGAAATTTCAAAGCTGTGCACATAAATAAATATTACAAAATAACTAGTACCGGAAATTCAATAGTGATCTTGTATTTTTGCAATAATGTGAATACCATTTTAATGCATGCAAACAAGACTGTCAATGTGTTCTATGTACATAATTATCTAGGAGAGGGTTGACCAAATACAAAGCTGAGACATGTTTTAGGATATAATGACATGAATAGTAAATTTATTCTATGTAAGGGATCGTTTTTTTTTTTTATAATTTCTGATGTCGGTGACTAACAAGATTTAAACAAAAATCCAAAAACTTTTTTTCAAATAATGATACATGATTTGTACATTCCAGCGTGCAACACAGAATTCCACAAGTTGCAAGACTGAAGCATGAAATATAATGAGCAGATTTAGGGAAAATTTAAAGTTACAAATTATATCACAAGTTTCAAGTTACCTTAGACTTAAAAAACTGATGGTCAAGTACTACTTCTTATACCAGAAAAATTTAATGTATTGAATGTTTTTGAAATTTAATATAACAACGTTAAGAAACTATCGTATAAAAAATATGCCATGTGACTATAACATGCCTTTACCCAGGCACGAAAAAAACACTATTCTATTACACTTTCATGTTTGAACACTATGCATATTCCCAGTTTTGGTTACACCAACAGTTACACAAAGGGAGGAATAAACGTTTTGTGGAATTACACATACACCAGCATAATTTTTGTATTGTATCACTTTGTAAAAGCGTATGCGGATACAACTATTAAAATATAAGCTGCACTGCACACTTTAGAGCTTAAGGAATTAGCTCGGCTTGGCCTTCGCAGTGCGAAGTCACATTCTTCAATAAGTATCAGCCTCGTTTCGTTTGACATACACCTGGAATTTAAGCTATGGATGAACAGTTGCACCTGTATAGCTTTATCAGTAATATTCTACAATAGGCAGTTTTGCCGTGACAAGATTTCACACGCCTACTGACAGGCACACCAAAATTAGCGTCAAAATTTCAAAAACTAAATTTCAAATAAGTCACTTTAAGGGTGTATCGATACATAACTTATAGACAGTTAGGCGGTTCGCGAAGAAAATAGTAACCAATGGAGTACAGATATAGGTATGCTACGGAATGCATTTTTATAAAGTGTTTCATAACATCGCTCGATTAATGTACTATGCAAGGAGCTACATTACCCAAATAGGGCGAATCCAATCGGTACGGGGCAGCACAGCCCACCCACTTCTACGCGTTGCTTGCGTGTCACGTAACATGAACTCAACATCGCCGTGGTGCAATGCTTTAATGTACTATGCAAGAAGCCACTTCACCCAAAAGAGGCGAATCCTACCGGTACGGCAGCACAACCTGCCCACTTTTACGCGTTGCTTGCGTGCTAAGTGATGGTACTGAACTCAACATTGCCATCGTGCAATGCTTTTCAAACAGCCCAATACGATTGACCTATTTGTTATGGCGAGGATAGAAAACCTAACCAACTGTTGTAAATATGCATTTCCATGTTGATTATTACTATATGCATCACATCAACAAGGGCTTATCTACACCATAGCGTATGGTATACAACAACGGGCCACCACAAATCATAGACTCCCCCAATACTCTTAAAATTAAACGTGATGGATTAGTAAATTGAGAACCCAAAACTGTCTGAGAACGAACATTTTGTATACTAAAACAAAGGGTAATTAGCTAATTAAGCTTCCAGATAAGGAACCCAGACTATGTTCTTGTTGACAACTATCAATGTATACATGGATAGTATTATTACGAAATTTACTTTCTGCATTCATGGCTGAGTAATCATATTCAGAATTGTTAGAAAATGTGGTAGAAATATATTTTCAAACTTAATTTTGAGAGTAAATTCTGTGAATTAGGGTAGATATCAACAGAGGATAATTGACTATAAATACTATAATTGTCAAACTTCTGCTTGCTCCGATTTTGTGTAAACCTGCACCCGTCACGCAGTGAAGCGTGGAAATGTAGTAGTATAGATATAAATAAAAAATTCAAAAAGCATTTCTCGATTGCTTTAATAGGCGTAATCAGTTAATATATAGCCTATTATGCTATACTATATTATTTTGTGTGTTAGATTTGCACTTCCATGCTGAAATTTTCTCAGACTTATAATTCAGTAACAGGCTCTACAATTTAAAAATTATGCGTTATATTGCGGATTATCATGGTAATTTTCGTTGGTTTAATTAGTATGTGGTTTACGACTCCATGTGCTCTTCGCCTTCAATTGCAATAACAGTAGTGCAGCGAAGCGTTATGCGGTACATTGAAAGCAAAATTCTATTGGTATTTCGTGTAACTATTTGTGCTCAACTGCTCACGAGCGAAATTCTGCAAGCCATTCTCGTTTTTAATAGACACAACAATAAATAACAAAAGCAATACACAAACAGTGTATGGTTGAATGTTTATTCGAACTGTCTTCAATTTTGAATGATTACTTTTTCGTGAAAGGAAATGTACTTGGCCTTGGACGCAGGTTATTTGTATATAGCACGAACACTAACTTATTAAAAAGTGTCAAATTAAAAAAGTCAATTAATTTCTCAAATATAAATCTTCAAATGAAGATGAAAATATGTTTTCGCAGCGTTATTTTGCGTTCAATCCCAGAGATAAGGGACAAATCTGGCAAACAAGAGGTTTTGCATGCGTCAATAACCGCCATTTTGTTTTGTGACGAATCGAGCTCAGCAGAAGGCATGATATGGCGCCGCTGCGCGGTTGTCCATTTCAGGCATAAGTTAAGCACCCTGAAGCGGTAGATGACCAAATTATCAAATTTACATAATATACTCATGAAATTGGTATAATCGACTTTAGATATATTTTATAATACAGCATGATAATATGTGTATAGGTAAGGTTATACACGCGATAAAGCTTTTCGGACCATGCCGAGTTTATATTGAATTTAAAGTTAGGCATCATCTTCGGCCTTTAGGTACAGAATGAAATATATGAGCCCTAATCATATTCAAAACTATGCTTGCTCACAACTCGAAATATTGAAAGCTACTTTGATGCAGATAGTTGTACATGACAGGGGTTTCAAAAGTGATCTTAATGTTTACAATAGCCTAGATTTAGATGATATTGTGGAGAAAATACAACAAAGAAAGTATTTTGCAAGCATTCCATTGATTTTTCTAAATTTCGTTGAAATGCTATGAACCAGGAAACCACCAAATCCTTTAATGTATATTACATCCGTATCTGTTGGTAAAAATTTGTACAACAAAAATACGTTGGAAATAAAATTAAAAAAGTCATCAATCAAAGTCAAAAGAAAAATGAATAAAGAGACTAAGGAAAACGAAACCTGTAAAAAAATATATATTCCAGAATATGAACTAGTTTTAGATCGATACATGAGTTGCGACTAATAGAATCAGATGTGTTTATTTAAGGCACATGTTCGCCATCGTAAAATATAGCGATGATACCTAGTAAATACTTTATTTTCTGACTTCTCATTAATGATGGGTTGAAGAATTTCATAACTCAAGCAAACTTAAACTTTACCGTTTTTAGTTAGATCTGTACGAATGTTATTGTTTGCTTCATATTTGAAGCGTCCATGTATGACCTTTGTAAAATGTACAGTTGGTATTTGTAACAATGCAAGATTTTATTTCAATTTAAAGTCTTGACAAATAAAAGCGCATAATCTGTCAGAAAATTAAATTTTTGTCCAACGAGACCTTGAGTTTTTGATCCGTGCTTATCAGATGAATCAATCTTTAGCCTTGACTGACAACTTGACGATGATGCTGATATATTCACTTTGTTTTTTCAGGTTGCTCACCAGACCACTGCCATTCACCCGTCGCATTTTCAATCTCCGCCTGGTCATGGTGGACGATATGACGCAAGATTGGCTCCATACGGTTCCCAACGTGGTACTCACATGCCTCAGCAAGGGAGTAGACCAGATGGAATTTCGCCACCGTCATGTCACCTTCCGTATGGCTCCAGCAGCCATAGACGTGATCACATGCATTCATCACCGAATCCGATGCAAATATCTCCATCAGAACGTGATGTGAGTTCTAGCCACGGTCGACTGGAACCTTACAGTTTACCGGCATCGCACGGTCAACATCAGAGCATGTATTCTACTTATTATTCGCGACCTAGTTCAAATTCACAGAATCAGCAGATATCTTCTCCCGGAGTGAGAGATCATTCGTGCGAAACCGGATATTCTCCGCATAAAAATGGCGCCATGATTGATCCAAAACATGCAAAACAACCGTCTGAAGTAGATAATACCGATGATTTGTGTAACGATTCAAAAGAACAACAAGTCAATAGCACTTGTGACGAATTGGGTTACGAAAGCAAAGATGCTCAGGACGACGACTTTGAATACGACACACTTTCACAACCGAGCCCTAAATCTTCCGAAGCATCGATAAATAAGGACAAAGTTGACGACCAAAACGAGAAGCGACCAGACAAAAATGCTTCTCAAGAGAACTTAGTCACAACGACAAGTTCTGGACGCAGACGAAAACGCCCAATTCAACGGGGTAAACCTCCATACAGTTACATTGCTCTCATAACAATGGCAATTGCGAGCGCTCCAGAAAGAAAACTAACATTGGGGCATATTTACAAATTTATCATGGAACGATTTCCTTTTTATCGAGAGCAGAATAAAAAATGGCAAAATTCCATCCGGCATAATCTAACTCTGAACGATTGTTTTATAAAACTTCCTCGTGAGCCAGGAAAGCCGGGAAAAGGGAACTATTGGACCCTTGATCCAGCAGCAGAAGACATGTTTGACAACGGATCGTTTCTGCGACGCCGAAAAAGATTTAAAAGAACCGATACTGAAAAGGCGATGCTAAATTCGTATCTCCAAGAACAAAGTGCGTTTACATCTCCTGGGGTAAAAGGGTATCCCGGACAACCGGGTGGAGGTTACTACGGGCCACCTCATCCACCCACTGCATATCTGACTGCAATGCATAATCAGGCTCCCGTCGGGCACCCTCATTTGTCACACTATCCCATGTCTGCTAATTCGTCCGCGGTCATTAACAGTCAGATGTTCAGCATTGATAACATCATAGGACCGGTTCGTCAAAGCGATCAACACGGTCATGCTTGCTTGAGCACTAACCCCCCCGCGCATTCTGGCATGCACGTGCCGTCGCACGAAGCGCCTGGTCAAATGCATGAAAACCCATCATCTCCACAACATATCAGCCCAGTATCTATGTATTCTACATTTGGCCCGCCTGGACTTTTGTCTCACGCTAGTGCTGCGAATCCCTCATCATTATCGCCCAATGCACCCGGTTACTACTATCCGTCCAACCCCGTAAATATTGGCGCATCGGCGTATCATAGCGGGGCAGGTGGCCTATATACCCCAAACTCACGGTACGGCTTGGGAAATACCAAGTCGTCAGGTGGATACTCTAACAGTAGCATCACGGGACACGATGGCCTCAGTGGCAGCGACTCAGGGGAGCAATTAACTACATTGCAACCAGCACCACAATTGAACGGACTCAGTGGTAGCAACTATATGAGAAGTCCAGAGGTATCATATCCTGGTTTTAATCGCTATCTAGCACCAGTCTGAAAACAGTTGAAACTTCGTTTAAAATGAGCCCTCAAATTATTAAACCTAGTTTAGTAATGGTAATAAAGATTGAACTAAAAAATATTCTGGTCACACTCTATACACTGTTATAAACTTGTATTATACCTACATCTTAAAATGATCAATCGCGATTTAAGTATGTGGAAATATTCGGTTAGGACGGTGTTTTATTTTTTTCTCCATTATCAAATTCGAGTTAATTAAGGCATCTTGTATATCCTACATGTAATAGGCGAATTCAGTAATTTGTTTATAAAAACAATATCATAATTATAAACGTGTGTAAATCTTTCCTTATCAATTTAATTTTGTCAATACTTGATATGAGAATAAAAAAAGACCTATTCCACCCATTGGTGATTAAAACATGTAAAATGTCAATTTCCAAGCATCGATACCAAAACCAATTATGCACACATGCATAAAATCTTTCGATATCAAATAACGTAGATAAAATCCTGCGCCCAGTTCATTTTTTTTTATAATTATTATTATTGGATTGTTTCTTTTTTATTTTATCATCTCGCTATATCTTTGATTTCAACATCACTGCACTCCTAAAACAGTAAATCGTTGACACAACTCTTCTAGTTTTACGCCACTACCAATGCCATGATTCATAAAGATAAATAATAAACAAGTACTAATGAAACGATAAATAATAAATTTAGTACGCTCTTATACCAAACTGGAAAGTTTGCAGTTTATACCGGCTGCAGCAGCTCCCTATTCCTCTAAGTCTTGTTCGTAACAAAATGTGGGCTAACATATAAATGATACTTGTATTCTGATTGAGTATGATATTTCCTTTCCCTATCATTAGATTAGACAAAGATATGGTTGAGGTTTCATATAATATAGCACAGCTGTTTTAACTGCAATTTCGTCATGTCATTTTTGGGCATAAATACGCCATTTCTGTTTCCAAAACTCATTGTGTCCATGACAGAAAAGACTTATATTGAGAGTAGAAAAAAATACATTGTATAAGGTTACTTCACGCTTTGTATCTTTTTTGTAGGCGATTTGTGTGATTTATTATAATAATTTTTATCTTTGTTTCTTGCCCGACCGAGTGTGTTTGATAAACATGGCAGTCCGATTCTTCGTGTGAGTCAAGTTTTTTGCGCAACCAAACATAATCCACTTTTGCCTCCCCCGAGTATTTATCAACTTGAACATTTGTAAACTAAGATTACAAAATATTGACATTATTTTTGTTTATTTATGTTTCTGCTGATTTTTCTATATTTTAGCCTGTGTCAGTGTATACCGTCCAGTTTGTCTAAAATTTCTCCTTTTTATTTTTCGATTCGAGTGAAACTAAAATCAGCTGAGAAAAATATGGAGATTAAAATCTTATATAATAGTTTTAAAAAGTGAATTTCCCCACCCCACCGAATTTCCATCCGGATTTTATGCCTAAAATGTATGGCGGTTTGAATGTCCTCAGTGGCCTATACAAGATTAGTCAGTATCAGTCTCCACAGTACCATAATAAATATAGGCCGATAGAATTTTTGCTATATTGTATACGACACTGAATTCATTACCGTTGACGTTGGCCAAGAGTAGTTTACCAATTATAGTCATTTTATTATTGCTTTTTGTTTAATTTTAAAATTGACGATTTTCCGAAAAATGTTTTTGTTTGCTTGCTATACTTTGTTATTGAAAAATATAAAATCGGGAAAGAATATGGCGAGTGGTTATCACAAGAAATTTGGAGCTACACTGGGTGAAACTATCCAAAATAATTTGAAAGGCAGGATTAGAGAAACGACATTTCATAGCCAGCAAAATTGCAATTACATTATTCTATAGATGAATTTGCATATCAACATAGCACTGCAAAAATGCCAAGTTCTCGCGAGTTTATCTCGCAGTGAAAAGTGGCGAGGTAATAAGGAAAAAAAAACAATGCGGGTGCATTGCTTATAATGCGACTCAAATAGTTTAGATAGCAATTCATAAAACGCTATCTGTCTTGAAGAAAAGTCTTAAACTTAAACCAGCAAATTTGAGCAAGCACAAAATACTTTCACTCGCATAGACAATGGTATGTTATGTTGTGATTTGACAGCCACGACATTTCACCCCGCTATTCGAGTAGTGTAATCCCTCGTGGTTTTTCAATTTATCCTATATAGCCAGCCGTTGCCTCTTTTAGCATTAGTTTATAGCTTAAATTTTGAGATCAATTGATTTCTCGAAGTAAATATTAGTCAATGCGACTTCAAACCCCACAAACAATGAACAGGTTGCAATCAAACCTGAATACCACCCGACTGATTACGATCTATAGAATTCAACCGAGTTGCTCACCCGAAAGCATAAGTTCAGCTCACATCTTCGCCCTAATGCTTGGTTGCAACTGCACTTCAGTCACAATTCTTTTACTGATATTGTTGTGAATTATTGCAAAAGTTTACGCAGTGCTTCTGTTTATCATAATCTTTTCCATTCTTGGTTTAGTCGGCACCGATAGCCAGATAACGGACGAGTTACATTAATTACAGAACCGGAGAAATAATCATTGCGAAGATTTCACAAAACCAACATTGTTATTTTGAAACTATTAGACCTAGACGATTATCGTCTGGCAGATACACTAACCCATACTTTCGTTACTGTACGCGTAGCCTACTCAGCAAAATGGTGGCAATACCAAGGTCGAGGAAGTAACTGGATATGTAGTGAGCAACTGAGTGAGCAGGACCAAAGTGACAACTGGACATACAAATTTATTGTAAGTATATATATATATATATATTTATTACCTATAAAATTCGATTTCTCTATATATAAAAAATATGTATGTTTTGATTTTGATATGAATTTTTATGCGAGGTCTGTTGTGCTGCAACATTCGCAATATCAGTTCTTTGAATAACAGCAAGATGTAATATCTTAATTAAGTAATGCGAAGTGTTTGAAAAGTGGATATGTATTTTCCAACCTGTGTGTAGAATAAAAAGAATTTTGTTCACAGGCTGGAAATGTTGACAGCATTAAAAATTCATTGCAGGATAGATAACTTGTGGACAAATATTCTTCTTGTACTGATATTCACAAATAGGCGATTCTGATATTCATTGGAAACTTTAGATATTTGCAGCAACGATTAAAATTCTATATTGAATGTACCGATCGCCTCAGAAACATTCCAATCATTGTCATTACTGCAGACATACTTATGCTAAAGTACAGTGCCAGCTAGTTTGACAAGGGTATTAATCATATAAGTACGCGGCACGTTCTACCATTATTTCATTCAGTAAGATCTTAGGTTCAAACTTTAGTCACTAATCTTGTGACCATTATAAACACACATTTTAACTCGGGGTGAAAAAAATTGGTTAGGCTATTCTTGTATACGCTGATGTTCAGGACAATGGTGCAGAAACACCATATAATTGTGTACAAACTTAATGGTACTTCAGACTATTATTAACTTTGTTACACACCTAAGAGAAATTTAGTGGTATAATATGAACAAGGTGTATTATAGACATATCCATTAAATCGAATCTAACAAATCCTCGTGTGTTATTGGACTGTGAGTAATATCAAACGATACGGATAACCTACAAGTTCCGTGGATTAAATCTAATCCAGTTCGTACGAAAGAGCTGTAATTTGCCTTGCCCAGACCATATCCTGTACACCAGACCTATAAATTTGAAAATTACTACCTAAATGTGATGCTCTGATATGATAATTTGCCGCTGACATGTTGCGGTGCGATGGTACCACTTGATAGTTATTGTATTTTTGAACCCTGTTATTCATCATGAAGAGGTTTTACTTTGGCTACAAATGCATAATAAAATTTTGGTATTTTTGATGTTTTTCACTGTATTTAATGCAATGACGCTTTTAGTTTACATAAAAATAGTGTGCCCCTTTTTGTTTCAATTCCAAATGAATCTTGCAGGTGCAGGCCCAAATGATTTTTTTGTGATATGGACCGGGAAATATGAACTTTATAAGTAAGGTTTGAAACCAGCAAAAAAGGTCATATACAGAAATTTCATTTGTATACCTCTTAGTGTTTGCTTGGCCAAATATTGATTTTGACTTCAAAACCATGTGTATAAGAACTCACGAATATCTGCGGCTCTTTTTCCAAAATTCAATGCAGTGATGCGCTTTAATAATACACTAATTTTCTTTTTTAAATTGACATTACAAAATATAAATATTATACTTTGAAACATGTACATGTGGAACATCAATGTCATCATGTACATGCTAGTTTGAACGTTTACCAACAATTTCCAGAAATCCTATCCGGATTTCCGAAGACAATTTTCATAGTTCTTACTATCTAGTCTACAATTAGATAGACTGGAGCCCCTTCAACTGTAAATTGGAGGAAGTGTTAATGAAAATTGTTTGATATACCAAAAATCAAATGAATACGGTATTTCGGCGATATTCTCATTATATCTATATTAAGTCTAAATATATATATTTATATATATTTGTGTCTAAAAATAGTATTTTACCCACCCTAAATTTGCTATGCTATAATTTATCGCTTTTTGGGACGTTTTGACCAAATACCTATAACAACATTTTCATGTAGTTTTTTTAACTACTGAAGTAAGCTTAATTTTTACTATAATACTAACATAACAGTCGGTAATGGTGTATATTTTTGACGCATGAGTTGTTAATCCCATTATCAAATATTGTGTTTATGAGTGAATTACTTTTCAAAAAATTATTTTTTTATTCAAAATTTCAAAAACACCTAAATTAAAAAAATGTTACTTTCAATTTTTGCGGTTTACGAAAAGTTTATTCAAAATTTTAAATTTTTTATTTCATATTTTTTTTAGCATAGTTAATAATATGATCGCGTCGAAATGCATTTTTTTTTATTTCTTTGAGGTTCAAACAAAAATTTGCTTTTGACCAAAACTCAAATACGAGTAGTATGGTTTGTGTAGACTCTCAGACAACAAAGAAACACAGCTGACAAAATGGTGCCAATGAACCATCAACGACGCGTAGTCAGCTATCCTAACAAGTTTAAGAATATATTTTAAAGTACAGATACTTTATGTTTGTTTGTTTCTGAGTAAGGTTTTGAAATATATGAATGTTTTCTCGTTTTTGTTTTTCTACTTTTTCTCAGTTTACTTCCTTTTAAAATTTTACTGATTTCTATCTGACATATCTGTTTGTTTCTGAGTAAGGTTTTGAATCATATGAATGTTTCCTCGTTTTTGTTTTTCTACTTTTTCTCAGTTAACTTCCTTTTCAAATTTCACTGATTTCTATCTGACATATCACCCAAGATAAAGAATAATTGCAAGTGTCGAATAATTGCTATTTTAATTGAGTGGAAAGCAACTAACTTTAATGTAGAAACTACAGTTCGTTACTCAGAAATTTTTATGAAAAATTTGAAAATTCGCAACACAAAAAATGTTATATAATTCATCTTTTAATGCTGATTAATCATAACACAAAATATAATTGAATGGATTTTAATTTCAATTTCGGTTTTGCATGTTTTGATTGAAAACATTATTTTACGGTTATATTATTATAAATTACGTATCTTGATTTATTTTATCGTTCGCTAAGTAAAAATTAAAACAAATTTGTTTACAACCAACTTTTCATGCAAAGAACTACGAATGAATCATGATAGTAATCATCTCATGGGCAAACCTTTGACCCCGGAAGACATAACACAATCGCCGATCTATTTTAATTAATTTTAATTATCTTTCGAAAACGAGGCATTCATCAGCTACTGAACATTTGATGGTAGACGCATTTCTTCGAGTGCTGGACATTTTCGTTATTATGATAACTTGCGTTTGCAATCCTGCGTGTCAAAGGTGACCGGCCATCAAAGTGCATCATGCACCAAGAAAAGACAGAAAATATTTAAGCGTGAGACAACAGGCTACTACAAGGCCAACGATACGTCCACTATCGTATCAGATTTCGTCTTGAACAAGTACCGTGACATGTATATGTCTGGACACACTGTTGAATCGAGTACTTACTTCTCCAACCGACTGCGCGAAAAGGGGACAAAACAATATGGCGAAAACTGACTTCGGTGAGTTTAGTCAAAATTCGATCATGTGACCAGGGAATTATTTTGTCACACTGGATGGAGCAAAGTCTGTGGGTGCTAATATCATCGAGTTTTGGCAGACGAATATAAATATTTGTCTCACAAGAAACAATCTGTAGTATTTCCCGATTTAAAATGCTTTTAAAGATTTTTTTTGTAAATGTTCTGGACCTAATAAGCTGTGCTGTTGTGTTATGCATTTCTGGACTTGTGTTAACATGTAATTAGGGACGACTGGACGTATGTGTAGTTTACACAATATTTTCTTAAATGACCACGAATTTCATCAAGAAAAAGCGAATAAATATTTGAACCCTTGACCTTTATCTAAAAACATTTTGCGTTTTTCTAAACAATTTCAAATAACGAACCTAAATGCTGAAAACTATAATGAGAAAATGTTATGTACTTTAATGATCAACCTAAAACAAACGCCATCGATTGGCATTTGAAGACTGTTGCAAAAAAATTATGTTTAAAATGTTTTGGACATTAATACTTTTATGTTGCACTACGCATGTAACCGTTCTACGTTCACGATACTGTATCTTGTGATTCAAATTAATTTTTTGTGATTAATTTTCCACTTTTTTAAAATATTTATGAGGTATGCCCATTATACCAAACTCATTACTTGTATAATTGTGATAAGTGTTTTGAATTGTTGCTATTATCCGTTCGAGCTGTTTGAAAATGTTTATGTCATCCTGTTATCCAAAACTCTAGACTAGATTATATTTCATCACCAATAAAACATTTTCACATGGTTGTAAATCATTTTACCCTAAAAGGGGAAAATTTCGAATCTGATATAAGCTTTATCATTCTTTCTTTTTGATTTAATCATCCCAATTGGGTTTCTTGGTATTTATACCAAAATCTATAATTATTATTTTCAATCACATGACATTTCGTTAATGACGTCATAAATATTTCAAAAAAATTATCAATATAAAATTCATACATTTAAAATGATAGGCACTTCATAGTGGGTCGCAATTGCGCTGGTGCGAACTATAAAAACAAGAGGCGGGAAATTGTTGCTTTAGGGGACTGCGAGAACATTAGACTCCGTCGCCCTATGGAAACATGTTTTTACTGCAAATTTTCAATTGCCGTGCCTTTTACACCTGGTTCGGAATACAAATTATATGTTCTTCTCACTGAACAAACATGGTACACCACAAAATAGATTCAAATGGTTCGATTTTGCCATGTGCCACGTTATATCGACAATAATTACATGATACCTTTTAATTATAGATACCAGAAAATGCTCAATTAATCAGGACTTATGAGGATTTGGGTATCCATATTAGATCCAAACGTTTTGTTGGAGTTTTTCGAATTTTATTCAATATATTAAATATATATACAACAATAAAAATATGAATATAATTTCTTCGGGTATCATGTACTCGGCAAATACAACAAGGGGTCGTTTAAGTGGAGAGTCAGAAACAACAAAAGTGTTCCGTGAAGTGCACTCCCATCCAATCAATAGTATCAAAAGTCAAATTTGAAGAAGTATTATTATCATTAAATATGATTTATTAATATTTGTGATTAATGACATAGTTTTTTTTTCAAAGAATTTTTGTGATAAATTCAAGTATGTTGAAATATTGAAGGGATTGGAAATTCGATTTAACGATAAAAAATTATAGAAGGAATAAATTTTCCTCATGCAAGGTTTCATACATTCAATTTTTGGAAAAACCATTATCTTTTCTTAATTGCTAACTCTATGTCAAATTTGTTGTCTTCTGTAAATTTTACTTCAAAAATCAAGCTAGGTTTATATTTGTATATCTGGAATTGTGCACATGGCAGATGACAAAGTGAAAGACCCAGACTGTGAACACTTCATAAAAATAAAAAAGCTATACCTCACTTATATACCCAAACACACCCAGTTTCAGATTCAAATTTACCTTTCATGAAGTTTATATTTTATGTTTATTATGTAAAATAGATCTTTATTTGTTTTTATATGATATAAAATATTGTTATATATAAATTATTTATTTAAAATCTGGGCACATTTGTAAATATAACATTAAAATGAAAAGTATTAAGCTGTTCAGTGTTTTAATTTGCGATTTCGTTATTTTGTTGTATCAATGTGTAAGTGAAATTTAGTGCAGTACACTAACTACAAATCCCATCACTCAACACAGATATTAACGCTATAGTTTCTTCATCCATGAAATACCTGTATCTTACATGTTCAAATAGTATGAACAAGAACATAAATATTTCGTAGCCAACAAAAATTGTTAACGTGACTTGATTCTTAGCAAAGTTTTCTTGTCTTATTCAATATATATATAAAATACCTATAGACCTAACAGTTAATCACGTAATGTGTCTTTTTCATGTAACTTTATCTTTAATTCTTGAGCCATATGTGAAATAGGTTTCAAATATTGTAGTATATAAAAATAATTCTCCACATTGCAACTCCAACCGTCTATTTCATCTTCAAAGTTACAATATAAATAAAAAGATATAAATAATTATTTTATATCGATTTACGAAGAAATAAGCAGACTTTTAAATATTTGCCCATACCTGTCGACTGTAAATGTTCAAATAATACACAACTTAGCTACGACTAATTTGTGGTGCCAACAAACAAAATGGCGAAATCAATTATCAAACTAAATTCCGTTCCGGAATATTCCTTTATAAAGATTTCAAAATATGAAATATTACTTTTACCTTGATGCTATTTAACTTGAGTCAGTGACAGATATATGAAACGCTTAAACAGAAAAAACAATATTTTTTTTCTAATTTCTATAATAAGTGATGAATGATGTGATTGTAGAATATTAAATACTGTCTATATATTTGCGAGTATAAATATTATGAAATGTCCAAGATAACGTTTCAGAACTTTTAAAACTCAATTATTTCATTCAAAGTAGTTGGTTTATACCGGCCAACAATCATTTCATTTATCATTGTGTTGTAATAATGCCCTTTATTAATTAAAATTATGTTTATACGATTTACTAAATGCAACATCATGAGTATTCACTGAACATCATGAAAAATGTCACATTTGAAGAACTATAATAATGAACAGTCCAAGTCGGCAAATCAGAAAATAACTAGATGGATGTAATATCCAAAGATCATCAAGTTCATTTCTTTAAATTTGCAGAAAACAACAATAAAAAACCACTCTTTTCCATATACAAATGTTTTATAACTACCTACAGTTTTGGTGTATGGGCTAACATTGTACTTTTCATTCTGCATTCATGTAATGTTGTGTAAGTAATATACTCAATAATAGTAATATGTTTAACACAGGTAAATGAGCATTTTAAAAAAAAAATTCAGCAAAAAATTGATTATCCACGTAACCTTTCCATCCATCGTCACCTGCTTTCAGTCACGCCAAATTTACCGTCATTTTTTCAGGCTCCCGAGTTTTACTTCATCTTTCCGACCCTTGCTTTGTTCTATCATCAAAATTTAAAATCATACATGTTCAAGCGTGAGTAGATAATAATTTAGTCTGTTACCATGGATAAATTTGCAACACCGCAAAATAAGCGATAAAGATGTCTCAGACTGAAAATCCTTCTTCAACTTTAAAGATGATAAAACACCTTTCTTAAGAAGTTAAATCTCCTCAAAAAATCATTGTGGAAAACTAATGCTTTAAAACGAATTATAAGATTCATGGTGAGAATAATTGCATAACTAGCAGAACTTTTCTAATAAAATTAACGATGTGTATCCATACTGACGAAGATGGCTAATTTATTTTGATCATGTATAATTCGCTGTTAGGGTTGCCGCTTTCATGTTTCTTTCACAGTATCAATCAGAAGAAGTACTTTATTTTAAGCTAACTGGTATAAATGAGACCTTCGTCTTTCTTTTGGGGTAGAAAAAACGAAAAGTGACCTGATCAGATGTCGAGGAAGGTAACTATAACGATGCGATCGACTTTAGAATCTTAAATTGTGAAGTTTTAAAAAATATATTTACTGCAGATTAAAACGAAAAGAAGAAATATTACTCGAAATTCCCATATTAATCATAACGAATTTTCAGACATTTGTGGGAGGTCTGATGATGAATTCACGTCTAATGACTGACGCAACATTCACCGTATCCCTCTGCCGTAAAGTACAAAAGCTGAATTGCAAATGTGAGTAACACGATGATTTGAGCTGAAAAAAGCAATTTGTTTGACATTTGACCTCTGTTAAGAAGGAAGTACTTAAAAATTCCGTAATATCATTTCAATCAAGAAAAAAATATATTCAGAATGGTTGAATGAAATTTGACACGTTCCGTATAGGAAAAACGTAATTTTTTTTCTTTTGTTTTTCATTATGTTTTTCGCAAATATTTTTGATAGCACAGGTAGTCGTTCATATATGTATGTTTATATATCAGTATCAGAAATTTATAATAACAACCAAAGAATCGTCTATTATTTTCTAAATATATCATATGTTCCTTTTCAAAAATGGAGGAAACAAACAATGCAATTATAAAATAGTATGGTAAAAACGACACAATTTAAAATTTACTACCATTTTTGTTCAACCTTATGTTTACATATTTCAAAGCAAATATTTAAATTTTCACAATATTCGTTGCAATAGGCCTATAATAAACCAGATTCTTTTTAATTTATCACCGTTTTTCATTGCACTTTTCTATCTCGAATTGTCTATCTATATAAAGTTAACATATAATATTTATTTACATTATATAAATTTCAAAAATCATCCTAACATACCAATGCTTGTTCAAGATTCAAAAGGTAAATTTGTAAAAGTTTTAGTAAAATAGAGAAAAATCAATCAATGCGTACTAAAATGTATATTTATCAATGTTATCTTACTATACTTCGGGCCAGGTATTAATATGGAAGATTTGTTGATTTACGAAAGATTATACCATTAGAAGAAATACTAATCAATAACCTTCAACTAAAAAGAGATGATCGTTGAGAGCATACGTTTAACTAATTTGGATAACAAAACGCAGAAATAAATTCATCTTAGTGCGTTCAATGCATTCAACTGGTTATAACTGTTCTTTTTAAATGTCTTTATAAAATCTAACCGCAAACATGTTAGAATTATGCGTTTGATATAAATTTAAAATGGTGGTATTTATTGGTATAGTGTGTTTGGATCACAGACGTTTACAGAATGAAAATAGGTAAAGAATCGATAATAAAAAGCTGTAGTTTATATTCAATATTCCGTCAATACAGATAGATAAATATTGAATAAAATATTGAAAAATGTATACGGAGTTGGTTGTTTAAATTTAAGCATTCTAGTTCTCGTTCACGAACAAATACAATTGCAATGGATTTGGAAATTTTAATGTGAGAAAACCATTTTATGGAATGCGAACCCAATTTGTGTGAGTCACCTCTACAAATGCACATCGATTGCTTCAACTCATTTTAACGCATCATCGAGGAGTAGATTGTTATCAGATATGGGAGATTAAATTGAGAACAGTAGGCGAAGATTTTCTCAGATGAAAAATCCTGCATGTTTTCAGCTTGCAGTTAAAAGTAGAAATCGGACTATTGCATTGCGTACAACTGGGGCATCGACAGTTTAATAAAAGTAGGAAAGAGTAAGGGGCTGGCAAATTATTGTCATATTGCAACATAAGAAAACGTATATAAATTGAAAATCCGAAAGATGTTCGCCATTTTGCAAAAACCTCTGGGCTAAATATGAAAAATTCGGAAAAAAGTGGCGATGACATATTCCACAATTGTAACGCTACATTAAGCTGCGCCAAATGTATTTTAATCGTAAAAATCTGTATTTGATATGTTAGTTCAAAGTCTGATATTTATAACAAGTTTGAATATACGAAATGATTTATCGGATTGCAAAACATCCTAACTACGATATAATCACAGGGTAAAGATTCTGAGGTTCGTAACCACTTAAACCAGGCTATAAATGGGGTAATTGTGCCGAACCAATGTAATATATAACTAGAAAGCGATACTCATATATATGGACGCAAAGGCGAAAACGAAGTATTACGGGTATGCAATCTGTCACAGTTGTCTATTGGTACTGCAGTCATCACGACTTTGCCTGACCACTAACGAGGAACCGCCATGAAATTCGCTATTTTTAATTCCGATGACGTCATCGAACACAAAACGAATCTCACAGAACCCACTGAAATTTTTGAAATAAATAAAAGTGATAGCATTCAACGAAAAACACAATCTTTAAGCGCTGAAAATTTCAAAGTAATTGTTTTAGTAGTTAATGAGAAAAGCGATTTCTTTACAAGACGAAGAAAAGATTAATTAACAAGAACAGCAACCTAATGACAAGCTGATCTATATTTACATTTCGTGCCATATGAATATAATAACAACAATTTCAGTTACAGTAGCTCAAATTAGAAGAATTTTATAACAAATCCTCGAGGCTCGAGGTAAGATGGACGGAATAGACAAAACAATTAGGTTGAAATATAAAATGATTTTGTAAAAATGTCTTTGAGCAGGACCAAATTGCTAAGATGGTTGAAACTCAATTTGCATATGGACTCAATCGTAGTAAAATTATTATGATAATTTGTTCGTTAAATAATCTATTACAGTACGATCTGACATTATTGTGGAATCCCATCCAAAATTATTTTGGAATCCGATTGATTTTGTTGGCACAAATATCTCAATAAAAATAATTACACAGAGACGAATTTTAAGAGGTTCAATTTTTTGACTCTGTGACGCCACCTGACGACAAAACTCAGTTCTCATGATAAGCGGAACGAATGATTGCTAAATATATTTTTTTTATATTTATAACAAAACATTGAAATTGTTTGAGTGTGTGTGCCATTTACAAAATATATTATATTGAATCAATTGGTAGTATTGGTATATAATTGTAATGGCATGAAATTTTTGACTGAATAAACTAAAGAATGATTATAAATGAATTTGAATGAACTTACATGTTGATTTATGTGTGTTCTATGTCATATCATTGATTAGAAAAAAATCTTTTTCTTACTAATAAAGTAATACTGCAAAGAACAAAACTACAATGTGAGATCATTGCGTGAGGAAATGATACCGCTTCAAAACAATGTGCCAATTCTTTTTACATTGGTATCTTCAATAACATTGCCATGATCATCGATGTTGAGGAGAATCTCTCCTCTTGCATGAGAAACAGCTCCATCCAATGAAAAGAAGAATGGCGGCTTGCCTGTTTTAAAGACAAATCCCAGCGATTTTCTCACGGATTCTGTGAAAAAAATGGGATAGTAACCAAGATTAGATAGCGTGCAGCAAGATTAATAAATCTTATTGGACTGCAAAGGCAGGACTGCAAAAACATATCTGAAACGTTGACGAGAAGATAAAAAGTGGCTTGTATATAAAAATTGATTTATATGAGTTATAACACAGAGGCCGTAATCACAAAGTAGACCGGTTGCACGACATCTTTCAGTTGTTTTAAATTCATTCATTATGATGAGGTTCACACGTAACGTCTTTTAGTATTTAATCGCGGAACTCTTGTTTTTTTTGTTCAAAACATTGGTTTCATATGCTTGTTTCTCTAACCATGGCCGTCTATATCTATAACATATTTCACACATTTGACTCGGACACCAACTCTAAGATATATATATATATATATGTCTGTTAAGTTGAGGTACGCAATACAAAACATAAAAAAGAAAACGATTTGTCATACCATTGCAGTGACAAAGCATAAGAAGAATATCAAGCGCTTTCAGTGATGTAAATACTGATTTGATGAGTTTTGCTCCACCATTATCGATATAAGAACATGCAGACATATCCAGAATAACGTGGGTGACTCCGCTCCCAATATCGACGTCAGAAAATGATGACGACATTACAGTGCTGTCAGCTTGCACAGAGGAATTTATATTTGTGTTTGTTTCCAAACTATTTATACTTGAAATAGTGTTTATTCCACTATCTTTTTCTTCGTTGGAATTTGCATTTTCGAGAGTGAATCCTTCATTTTGAACGCCTGACAAGCTGCTTTTTTTCGAATTCCCTTGGCGTTCTTTGTAAGTTGCACTACTCCGTGTTGGGTCGAATCCAAGAGATTTGCAAAATTGGCTTCGAAATCTGATAAAAATATTAGAGATTGTCATTATATGTTCCGTCAAATACTTTTGTAAATTTAAAGTATGGTTTAACACATTATATACTTCGAAAAAAGGTATAAATTGGATACACAGAGATTCTAGTTTTGATGATGTTTATACTGCATAAAACCTTATTTAAAATCCCAAATATGGCGGAAAAAAATCTGATGATGTTTTCCTATAGCTTGCTATAAAATAAACAGTTTGCTCTCCCACAGATATATATATAGATATTTCAAGTTACATATACAGGGTGTCTCAAAAGTGAGTATACACTATTAATTTTGATTTACTTTTCAGGTACTCATCATAGAGCGTTCAATTCTTCAGAAAACATAGTATGGATGAGTAGTAAAATTTAGGTATAGTTTGCATTTTTCATCTGACAACGAGATTAAACCAAGAAATGAGGTGCAAAATTGCTGTTTGGACAGTAGCATATAAATTAGTAAGGCAAACTCAGCACCTCTTTAACAGAAAATTTTAAAATTAATTTGGCTCCTATACGACGAATAATTTGTGCAATTCATTGTACATTTATGAAAACTGGATCTGTAGTTGATGCATAAATATCAGAAAGACCAAGGAGCAAACGCTCTGAGGAAAACATTTAGAGCCGAATTAATTCCAAATTCTCTGTTGAAGAGGCGCTGAGTTTGCCTTACTGATTCATAAGCTTCTTGCCAAACAGCGATTTTGCACCTCGTTTTTGGTTTAATCTCATTGTCATTCAGTGGGTTGATAAAGAAATGCAAACAATACCTAAATTTTATTACTTATCCATACTATGTTTTGTGAAGAAATGAACGCTCTATGATGAGTGCCTGAAAGCAAATCAAAATTGAAAGTGTATACTTTCAAGACACCCTGTATATTGACCTATTATAATATCTCTTACCTTTCAAGATTAGCAAAATACAAAGGTCCAGAGTATGAAAATATAATAATATTTCTGTCACTTTTTCGTTTTGTTTTGTATCTTTTCACATTCTTATAGCTTCCGGTTCCTTCTATTTCACCAAGTACATAACCATTTGCTCTAAATATCAAAACAAATTATATTTTCAGTGATTTGCAGTTAAAACTACAATATGGACTACAGATTTACGACTAAAGTCTTGTATTTGAATAAGTTAATAAAATCACCTCATACTCCTGTCAAACATTTTGGTACATTTGACAGTCACACACTCTTTTATATTACTTACGTTTGAGTATTACACACAACCGTAATTAGTTCAAACCCGACCCCGATGAGGAGACCGATGTCAACTCCAATAAACACGACACATGCCCACGTGACCAACCAGGTTATTGCATCCAGTTTACATATTTCCCAATAACCCCTTATCTGAAAATGGAATAAAAATTAGATCACTTTTAGGAAAAAGATATTATTAGCCTACTAACACACATTACGAAATATTCATATATATATATTTGTTTTGTTAAAATATCGATTATATGTATGCTTTTTTGTATATTGTTTGTAATATATTAATTTTATGGAACGTACAGTTTTTTTTCGGAATTATATGGGCTATCACGGTGTCATTCAAAAATGTATTCAGTTTTTGATCCGGAAAGCATAAACCGGGCAAGATCTCTTTTATTTAAAAATATATTTCTCTAGCAATATAGGGCTCGAGTTGTGTTGTTGCCGGATTCTTTCTGTAGTACAAAGTAAATATATATGTAACAATTTCCAAATTAAAATGTGATTTATTCTTTTAGCATTTGAGCTGTGCGGCGGTGCTTGTTTACCCTATGAATTTGGCATAAAGCAATAGTGAGTGAGTGACGTGAAAAGTCAGTTAAATAAGTTTGACGATAGAGATCTTTATTGGCAATAATAACGTCATAATCATCAATTACTAGTCACAAGTGTGACATAAATAATGCGCAAGTGAATAAGTATGTATGTTTGAGGAAAACTGTTTTTAAAATTACTCAAAAATCCTTGATATATACATAAGTTTTTTTCACAAATAATTTTTCTTACCCTCTCAAATTGTCGAAGCATGCCTTTTATATTCACAAGAATAATTACAGCTAGAGCGGCTTCTGGTAAGGATTCAAATAAGGGACCAATCCACAGAATGACTGTCAGTATTATAGATGCTGCTATAAGTCCAGTGATCTGAATAGTACCAGAACAATTAAGTTACTAATAAGCGAAACGAAACAACGAAAAAGTTACCTGCGTTTTCCCACCAACTTCGTCCGAGATGGCGGTTCGCGATAATGCTACTGCGCAAGGAAAGCAAGAGAAAAAACAACCAACGATATTTGCAGAACCCATTGCCATTAGCTCCTGCAACAAATAAAAAGAATATGAAAAGACTAATCTGGAATTATACAATGTTTTGCAGAATACGTATGATCTAATTAGAACACATGGGATGGAGTTAGGGTTTTTCACGAATTCAGCATCTCGAAAATGAATCCTTGCCGAATCCAATGTCGAAATTTCATTCAACCCATCAAGTTAAACATTTTTATATATATATATATATATGTATAAAATTTCCTATTTAGCGATGTTTTGCCCGATTCTATATTCACAACTGCAATCAAATTTGAATCGCTGCTGATATATTTTTACCAAAAAAAAACTACCAACAACTATTGTGATGATATGACGCAACTGATTTGAAGAAGCAAGCCATCGAAATTAGATCAAGTACCTGATTTGCATCAATTTCACAGCCACTCTTAATTGCAAACATTTTTGCAAGTGAAATTTCGATCGCATATATAACGATTGCTACAGGTATAGATTCCAGCATAACAGATCCGATATCGTGGCTATCTGGTACTGAGAGTTGAAACCTAAAATCGATGTGTGATTTAACAAATTCTGATTTTCATATCAGGTAGCCTACTTTTATATATAAATATTTTATGCGAGACTTGTTTCAGGTGTCTGTTACTCACCTTGTTGTAGATTAGAAGGGGCCAGCTTACAACTACCTGAGATGTATGACTCCGCTGCCGAGGCGGGCTATGCCATATGCATATAAATCTGTCGGGAGGGCACACTCTGTGACAACGCAGAATTGAAAAACCCTGAACTCTCATAAGACCGATAATGTCAGGACCAATGTGTAATACCAATACCAAAGATGTTATATATGAAAAACTGAAATTCTTACCCAGTTGGAATGTCACCCACGACACTAACACTGTGGTTTTCATAAAGTAATCCGTAGTACGAAGCAATAGTAGAAAATATGACTATAAAGACTTCCCATGGTATCGGTATAGGAAGTCTATCGTAATAACGAACATTTATTATCTGTATAAATATAATAAATATATATTTTTAAAAGAAAACTTGGGGTAAATATTCGAAACGAATAAAAAGAAACTTATGCAGAAACAAATGAACGATTGCTATCAGAGGATTCATTCAATTTATTGCTAAAGGGCCTTCGTTTGAAAATTCGAAAAATAGTGAGATTGATCTTGTATTTTCCAAGAAATAATTACGACCGCAAATTAAGACTTCGTGTATTAATACAATTCGCTTCGTTGTTGCATCTCACCTATGTTTCCTTTCCCAATAAAATTCTCCCGTAGTTTCAACAAATTGATTTATAACTTTTCCATATTGCAGAAGATGTGGGATGAATAATATGTCGAATTTTATTGCTAACTGATAAACATATATGCTAAAATGCTTTACCTTTCCGACAATCAATACTACCGAACATACCGTCGACACAATCACTGTAGCCCAATTTATTGATGTGATGTTTGAAAACATATCGATGAATGTCTGAAAAGAATTTTTTCAGAGTCCGAATGGGAGAGTAAATGTGATATATATTAATTAATGTGCCTTGTACATACATTTGTGTATGCTTCGGTTGACTGACTAAGTTGAACGTTCTTAATCATCAAATGCTGTATTTGGTATACTTAAACAGTATAGTCAGGGTATGGACCTTTGCCCGAGCATCGACTTTCTTGTTTACTTCGTGACATTAGCCAATCAGCAAGAGGCAAAAAGTGACGTAACAATGCCCCCTTTACGCATCCGCTCAGACACTTTTCTTTTCTCACATTATTTTCAAGCGTGGTCGTAAACATTACCTCGTTTTCGCGTATTTGAATTTATTCGTTAGTTTTCAGTTGTGTTTCGGGAATTTGAGAATATAAATTGGATAATTCAATGATCACTTCGTCATCTTAGGAGTTTTAATTTAATTGCAGAAATAAAAAATTAGTAAAGAAATAGCTGTGATATACTAGGCTAAAATTCTTTACCGGTACTTTTAAAAAACAAATTTTTGTATGCAATGAATCAAAATGGTGGTTTAAAAACAAATACCCCATTTAACATCCGTCAACTCGTGAAACCACTCTTAAAATAAGCCCCAAAAATGTTGCAATGGTAAAGTATAGGAAGAATTTTTCGGGGGTCAAGGGTCGGGGAAAGGTAAAGGTTCATTTATCAACAGGTAATACGTAATTCTCCTTACTTACGTAAATGATCGAAAGTGGATCACTGTATTTTTGAACAGGAATTCCTAACAGTTTTGGGATTTGTGACGAAAGAACGGGAAACACCGCTCCACACGTAAAGCCCGAAACCAAATGTTCAGAAAGATACATTGTTACTTTTCCCAGACGTAGAATATACATTACAACCTGTAGTAACGAGAAGTTGCAAATGAACAAGGTTTAATAATCCAAAATGAGAAAAACGAATAAGGAGTTCCGGGCGGAGTCTAGCGGGGACTATTCCTGACATCGTATAATAGCGGTATGCAATATTGGAGGTATTGATTACCAAACGTAGACGAGACCTGCCTGACATTGTGCCTTCTGAAAAAGGATTGATTAGGTTTTTTAGTAATAAAATATGCCACCGGCAGAAGCGCGGCAAAATGGAAATTGAAAGTACGTAGACGGACAATTTCAAATTAGTGGGCACGAAGTGAACATATGGATTGTTTCATTGAATTATTATTGTATTACGTATTCTTGTTGATGTTGTGGAAAAATCGCCTCTCTCTTCAGCTACCGAACCAATTTCCTCTCGTAAAAGATTGTTGTTATCGCTGGAAAGCTATTACTTTTATTTATTTCAAAACTTTCTGTGAGCTCTATGGGATTCGCATTTCACTTTGTAGTTTCTTGTGATGACGTCACTGCGCACCGCGTGGTGGTTTCGCGATCGCATTTCAGCAATCTGACCTGGAGTTTTTTATTTGAAGACTACCGGTACTGTAAAAGATTTCATACGTTTTGGCATTCCTGTCCATATATTTGAGCATTGCCATCTTTGTTAATGTAAATTTGTAAATCAAATTCTTTTAGACGGTTACTTAAACATTGCAGGCCTTAGAAGAACCTGTGCAGGCTTCGGAAACCTGTCACTGGTTGAAGCGTATATATATTCCAGCATCCAATTCCAAAAGTTGGATTTGGCTTTTAAACTAATAGTTCCGTGTGATAAAAGCAGCTTGTGCACAATTTTTATGATAATTATAATAACAAGAAAACAGCGCTCAAATTCAATGGTTTCACGGTCGTGCATCAGTACCGCAGGCTAGATACAGCATTTTCTGAAAATGGATGGATAAGCGTGACAGAATTAATTGTTGCAGTGGCTAAAAAGTGTTACCATTAAAAATAAATAAATAGTGAAGTACGGGGCCCGCTATGGCACAAAAGAAATTTGAGAAGGTAAGTAGCAGTCGCGGCTTTACATGTTATGAAATCTAAAATTGTTTGGTCCATTAGTTCGTGAGAACAGCGATATTTTCAGGAGAACAACCCTAATAAGAACAACAACAATTTAACAACGTGATCCATAGTTATATTTCGTGTTCAACAAGCACCACATTAAATGGGTATCATTCTTAACAGGATTCTGCCAATGGCAATGTGACATTACAGGCACCTTTGTACAGTTTAGTGGGCAGAGACTGACAATATTTGAACACGATGCGGCATTGTTTACTTCTATTCATATTAGCTTTTCATTCTCAACCAGACAATGACTATGCAACAGATGACACTGCATAACTGCTTAATATTCACGAAAATCAATGTTCATCGGATATTTGTATAAGGTTATGTATGTAAGTATGTAACACCTGTATAACTCCTACAGCCAGACAAATAGCAATTGCAAGTTCAATTCTTCGTTCCATATATAAATCATTGCAACTTGTAGTTGAAGTAGTTTCCCAAGTTTCCGATGAACTCACCATGCTGTTTATTGGCTGTGAGGTAGTTATCGTTTGTTTACAGTAATCATCAACGTTAACATGCTGTAAAATGAATATTCTCAATGATATTAATTAATTTTATAAAATAAATTCAGATCAAGGGTTTTTATTGGCAGTGGCATGCACCATAAAACAACTCCTTAAAATCACTTGTAAAGTTTGAGCTACTGTTTATATAAAGCTTTGGTATATCGAGTGGAGAATCCTCACATAAATTCTACGATATTCATTCATCGGCATTCGGCACTACTTTTTTCAAGTAACTCACCTTGTCTATTACATCCCCCACCATAATACAACCTACTGCAAATGTTCCCATTGACACTTGATTAGATGTGCCAAGTAAAGCATACAGTATTACTGGGAAGAAGGAAGTATACAACCCTTGAACAGGTGGGAGAGACGCCAACATACTGTACGCCATTCCTAGAAAAATATGTGTTGTTTCAAGTTTAGTTTTATTTTTGAAGGTAGGATTGATGTGAGAAAACTAAGCAGCATTCAGGAAAGGGTGCTTACCTTTTTCAAAAAGCGTAATGTCAAGCAAAAAGGACTCAATATCTGTGACTGAATTATTATGTTGTACTGGTATTTTCAATCATGCTAGATTTACTCTAGAGTTGGGACCCTGCAATTCAACTCTACAAAAATAAGCTTGATAACTTCCTAAAAGTGGCTCTATTAACAGTTTTAACATTACCTTGGGGAAGCAGAACCATGGCCACAGTAAATCCTGCAATAAGATCTCCTGGCAAGTAGGATTTTATTTTATATTGTGGCAACCAAATCAAAATCGGAACCAAAGAAGTGATAAATCGTTTTGCTCTTTCGCCTGTTAAATGATAAGCATATTAAACATTTTCATATTCCCCATTATATATCTGTATCATTTTAGTAACACTCGAATCCTACGTAACGTAAATACACGTAATTGGATACACATAACATGATATATATCCGGGCATCATTATTACTTATCGATCTTGATCGGTAAGTATGTTGATAGGTATTTGTCTGTTTGTTTGTCTGTCTGTTAGACACTTTCGTATGTACGCGATATCTCACAAAAGCGAGGTTGAATCTGCTCCAAATTTTACATGTGCATTCATCATATCTTCATCAGAAGCCTATTGATTTTGGATGAATTATGTCGTAAAATCGGTGAGTTATTAATAAATTGATCGATTAATTGTTTTTTTTATTTTTTTTTTATCATTTTTTTTTATAATTAGCAAGGTATTTTTCAAATTTTATTTTTCGGAGAATCGACAAGTCGGCGGTCTCCGATCGCTATCTCGTTTTGAGGTTAATTGATAAAACTCAATTTAAATTATTTTAAAAATCCGGGCCGGATTAACCATTAGACGGGATATACTAAAATCAAGGTGCCTCGGCATTCAATTTTTAATTATTATCCACTTTCAAGAAATTGTAAAAGCTGGTTTCGGAGTAAAACCGATTTAAAATTTCATAATGATATTTGTTTAATTTTTAATCAGTTTATTTTATTCCAGTCCCAAATATTTCCCGTCCAAGGTTGAATGAACAAAATTGTCTAAATGTCTACCTCTTCAATCTCAAAAACAAAAATAAGTTGAATTGATTGAACAGTTGTACCGAAATAATGACTTTAAAAAATAAAATCCTTTTATTTCAAAAATTACAATTTCATCACCCCAAAGAAATAAACACTCTCTAAGCCCCCCAAGATAACTCAATGTATATTGTGAACCAACTAACGTGAGCATTTCAATTTGTCTTTCAGAAATATTTTCAGCTTTGTTCCAGTGCTGATATTATCCCATGGGTAACCATATCTCTTTGCCAATTGTTCTTCGGTAAATATCTGACCACTACACTCCAAGTTTATATTGACATCGTTATTATTAGGTTCTTCAGAAGGCATTTTATATATTCTAAGACACCATTCTTATCTCTGTAAAGAAAGCTTCACAATATGAAACAATCGAATGGACCAGGAATCAGTTTATATTCCGAGCATCAACATATATTAGGTGCAATGCCTACAATTGCATAAATTGTTGCAAGAGTATTTCTTTAATTAATAACCGGGTTTCCCAAACTCAATAGTAAGTAGTACCTTTCAAATAATTCATGGATCGCCTCCAAAATTGCCTTGCCTGCTGCGATTGGACAAAATAAGTCACGTGAACAGCGAATGTAGACTCTGCAGTTACTGTGTGGTGTACCGATTTTGTTCGCCTACTTTACATCAAGTTATTTAAAGGGAGGGAAGCCTATGGACAGGGGGTATATTCACTTGACTAACACAGACAGTCCCCGAAGTCGTGATAGAACTAAAATAAGGAAAATCGGAATAAAATCATGACCTAACCTGGTACACACACTATACGTGAGTAACGTTACTGTAGCCTAGTTGTAGTTGAAGCTTCTGCTAGGGAGAAAATGTGACTTTCTAACGAGTTGCTAAACTAATGTCTTTAAATTATCAACCTCATGTGAAAAAATATATTAAATCAGATTGGAAGTTATTGAAAGATTATCTTCATACTTATCTGATGTACCGCTTGAAAAAAGTCGAAACGTATCCCTGGGCACATGTACTCCAGTTTGGGAACCTTGCATTGAAACCATCTCAGTCATGAAACTGAACTCATCTACAAATTAAATATTATACTGACTTCGTATTTGTGAACTCTACTGATAAATTAGCAGTCTTTAGCAAACAGAAGCAGTGTCACCTCTGTGTCATACAATTTGAACTCGTTTGGCATGTCGTTTTAGACGACCTGTGTCAACAGCAGTAAATAAGTGATGCCCGTGATATCCCAATTCCACTGTTGTCTTGTGTAGCCAAATCTCGCAAACTCAGCTATAAAACTAACGTGCCATGAATCGGGAGACAATATCAACAGACGATGATATGTATCAAGGGGTTTTCAGAGCAATAAGACTTAATTTATAGCTTATTGGACTCGAAGTGGACGTACGGATGATTTTACAAAATTGCTGATGTTCTTGATGTTGGATTTATGAATCTCCCAACCGTGCTCTTTCATATTTTTGGATTGTGGTCGATCATTTATTTTCCAACACAGTGTGAACGTATCATGAAAAAAAAAACATATTATTAATACACCAGAAATTTAAAAGTTTACTCGATTTGAAGATTAGGAAACTCATGTACATGAAGATGCCCTAGTAAATATCGCCATTATTGTAAGGGTACTGAAAAACGAAGCACCAAAATTTCACTTACACGGTCACTACACCGCCAACGTCGATAGATATCGCGCTAAGAATTTAGCGCACCAAACTGGTCAGGCTTTAACGACCAAATTAATCTACGAAACCTGATTCAATACGAATATCAAACTCTACATCTATGGACTAACTACCATCGACAACCTTTAGATAAGAGGAACGTATAAGATACGATCAACCGGAATACAAATTTTCAAATATATGTATTGCAAAAAATTTGTAAATTCGTAGAATAATAATTAGAAAATTATCTTAGCATCATGGATGCGTTTTTTTTGCGCATATGAATGTTTGTACTAGTGGTATATATATAAGTATTTCGCATATTCGTCCATAAAGACATGTGAAGCAACTTTGCATCACGCCCGGATGTATTTCAATTTGAGTTGGGAGAAATTAATAGTCCTTTTGAGCTTGACTTTTGTCACGGACCATAGTGTCCGTGTTCATATTGTGTGCATGTATATTTTTATGTTTATAAACAGTTATGTTGACCCTTATTTAATTCTATGTTGTCGGATCTGGACTCCGACCATTCACTACACGTGAGAAGAAGCTTGTAATTGTGAGTTGTCGTTCAGTAAAACAATCAATCCGGAATCCCTGAGTCTTCTGATTCATCTTCACCCAGAGTAACAACATCGTTTTTGTTGCCGAGACACTTTATCCGAGTCTGACTTTGCTTCAAGTGACATTTTACTGACACAAATGTATTAATCGATTCGATAAAAATCTGTGGAAAATTAATTTAAATCTTGTACGTTGTCACTGTATTGTATATAGCGCACGTAGAGAAAGTTTGTCAACGAATACAAGTTTTGCTGGAAGAAGACGTTAACGTACCCTCTTAAAATCGGTGTCATCAGACGATCCAAATACATATGGTAACATAAACACACCTTGAGTCGACGAAGACAGAAACAGTGGGATCGTGCAATATTTTTGAAGAGGACATAACAACAGAGGTGGTTATATTATCGATTTGTCTAGATTCCTTATCATTTATCGCATTTGCAACTGGAGTACAAGCCTTATATTTGTGAAATGAAATATTATCATGTAAATTTTGAATGTATTTTGATTGTACGCGATAAATTAATTTATCTTTATCGAATATTTCCAAATATCTACTTTTTGTGATCACTTCCATTTCAGGTAATTCCAAATGTAATTAAGGATGAGAATGAATTATGTTCTCATCATTGCTCTCTAGTTCAATATCATTTGTCTGTAATTCGTTATTTTTCACTTGCTGTATGAGATTTGCATTTACCTCATCAGTTGATTCATTTGCAGCAAATAACTATTCAACTGCAATACAAAGCTGCTGAACTTCGCTAATTATTCAGTTCAACTTATTGGACACGTAGTGGACATAACGATCGTTTCAATATTATGTTGTTCTTGTTGTTATTTGACACAGAATAAACCGCATTTCTCTTCGAATACTGGACCAATTGCTTTGAAATTTTCAGTGGTTAAAGATAAAATTTTTCCCCAGAAGGCTATTACTTTTATTCATTTTAAATATTTCTGTTAGCTCTGTGAGATTTGTTTGCTATGACGTCATTAAACGTCCTGCGGACATCGGACGCCATTTTGTGTCCTACTGTACTGCTTCGCTTGGTGTGAATATATTTGTAGATTGTGATCTGACGGTACGGTACACCGTACTGTACTGCGAACAGACGTGTCCATATATTTGGGCGTAGCTCTCTTGTTTTATTCCCAATCTTTCTATGATTAAATAGGCTCACATGATTAGTCAATGGAAAATTTCATTTTGGGTGATAGAGAAATTCAACATTTTCGTTGTGAATGTGGGTCACAAAAAATAAGTTATCACAGTATTTGGGTATATTATAAAATTAAACTTTGTCATCTTTTTTAATATTGTCATCAATTTCGAAAGAAGAAGCATTTTTTCCTCGGTCATGATTGCTGAACGAACCTCACAAACTTCGATATTTGCAACCGTCCTTCGTATTCAAGGTTTTTCAAAACTTTCTGATAGCAGTTCCTAAAGATTTTTAATTTCTTCCTGTAGAAGTAAACATTTTAAATGTATTACAATAATTATTAACAAATTTCACGCGTAGCCAAGCTGTTCGTGTGTTAATTATTCTATCGAAAACGTGGCATCGAGACAAAATTTGAACTCACCTATGATGTAAAATGTTGTTGCGGTTTGTTTTGTTGAAGCTGACCAACTCTTGTAGATTCACCTGATTGCTCTTTGCCATTACCTGTTCCTTCCGACTCCGACTGGAGTATTGAAACAATCCATGAGCAATTGAACTGTTCAGATCGGATAATCATTTGAACAAAATTCAACTTTTAACTAGTTTTTTCTTGACAGGGGTTAACAATGGAAGCATTCGGTAACTATTAGTCCTCGGATAGGATGGCGTCTTTGCAGCGACAAAATTGTCACGTGGCGATTTGTAGTTCATCATTTTTGTGGAGTACCGGTAAAACAACTAGCCTTGGGCCCAAGCACAATAATAGCTACAAAAACAAACTGAATGCTCATCTTGTCATATTCCCCTTTGTTTGTTGTTGATTATTACTTTTACGCTGCCTTTTTATCGTACAGTATAGCGTAGACGATTAGTTACGTGTGATCAGAATCACAATAATTTGTGCACCGCTTGTTTGTTTGTTGTACTTCACACACTATTCCTTATTTGCTTGTATGCTATATATATAGTAAAAATTGCGTGTTCAAACTTTACCCTTAAAGTATTTACGCCCTATTATCTTTCGTGTATTTTTTTGAAATTTACATCAGCACGTCTTAAATCTTTTCAGATTTTGCCTACTTTCCTGATTTTTCTTAGATTTGTTTGTTTTGCCCTGTGACTTCTTTGTTTCGTTATATCGAAAAATCGAAATAAATTTAACGTTACTTATTAAATTCAAAAATTCTTCTTAAGTTGGCATCAACAAAGTTTAGTTGGACTATATTTTCAGCCCAGACGTGGAAGTCTACAGTTTGTATACTACTACTAATCTCATCGAAACTACATAAATATTAGATACAATAAATACTAGAAGACTGGGCAATGGAATAGCGCCATGCAGTGTCACGTAGCAACGGTGTGTGGAATTGGTAACACCACTCAGGTTCTTTCTGCCACCTTCTCGGACACTGAAGTTGCAATAGATGTCGATCACAAAATAATCTTCTTGTGGTTCCAAATACAGCAGAGTAACTAAGTTAAGTAATTACATTAATTATACACCTGTAGGAACTTAATACAACCGAATACTCCAACAAGATATACAATAAACAAATAAAAATACAGTACAAAATACCATACAGATACATACGGAACACAAGATACGGAATTCGTCTATGACACAGTCATGAACTATTGTCGAGTAATGGGATATAAAAACCGGGTAAAATATACCTGTAAATAAACAGGAATAACTAGTATGGTACTGAAGATACAACAAAAATCCTAACTTATCGACAAACATCTAGTAGACATGGCAATACACATAAAAATACATTTATCACACAGGAAATTAACTACGAAAGTAGACTAGTTACGGAAACACTATATACAAGATAACAAGTGAACAGAGCTATGCCAAACTGGGGAACAGTTAACCTGTAGTAGTATTATCAGTTTACAACAAGAATTACATAGATTTGCGGCATTAAAACACTATAATAATAGCCTTATACACAGAGGAAATTCCACACTGCCGGCACTCTGACAAACCAGCTAAAAGGGAAAGTTACTCAGCTGCTCACTTGTGACTCAAGTGGTATGAATAAATATGGGCATACAGAATAAAACAGAGTAATAGACGTGGTCGTCTCAGGTGGTTGCTAACAAATTGGTGGATTCGTTTCGTCACAATGTGGATGTTATAAAGTGTTAAACGGAGACTTTTTTGCAGTATCCGGACGGTAACACCAGCAACTAACATACCGGTGACCTGTGTTCCCTCTAAGGCAGTGGTTCTTAAACTTTTTCGAGCGCGACCCAAATCTGAGTTTTATGAATACTCGCGACCCAATCCTAAATAATGCAAAATGTGTTTTTAATGTTAGTACAGTTTGACTCAAATACAGACAACTATTTATTAGAAACAGTCCATTGACTCAGTGAGATTGATGAAACTGAAATTTCCTTTTCATTATATCTTCAATACACAGCTCTATTTTACTTAACGCAATACACAAGTTGTCACGGGTATCGAGGCGATTGCGAGCTTAGTTTTGATAACCGTCAGTGCCAAATATCCTCGCTCGCACAAGTGCCTTGTCGCGAATTGTAGCAGAAAAGGCGCCCTCTGTCCGTCGACATCCTAGCTGGCCTTCGGTATCTCTCGCAATATACAACTTTTTACTCATCAAATGTGCACACACTGCTTCGTTCGCGGTAAATGGTGCCTCGAGATGAAGTCACATTTTCTCTAGATATTGAATAATCTAATGTCGAGAAGCGAGCTTTTTCATTGCGTCGTCTATTACAATTTACATTACCAAAAAGACACCCATTTTTGGTTATTTTTATCCACTAAGACGACATTCCACGCGGTCAACACAACGACAAGCGACGTGCATGGTTACCGATACCATAAAAATAATACACGTGACTGGCATATCAGAATTGTGATGTAACAATGAGCACAAGACAGTTCTTTCCGTGAATGAAATTTTATATTTCATTATTTTTAAATACCAGAGTTTAGAAGCTAAATTGAAACATTGGGAAAGCTGAAAATTCTTCCTTCTCCTCTTAGATTGCCCTTGCATTGACGACCTTGTCGCGACCCATTTTTAAACCTTCCGCGACCCATGTTTGGGTCGCGACCCATACTTTAAGAACCACTGCTCTAAGGTGTGCGCGCGCACACAGCTTTTAGAGGCTGCGCACACGCATAGATTTACTGCGCACAGACGTATTTCGATGTAATGTAACAATGTTCTTTGGTCATTTTTCACCCTTTATTTAATTTCAAATAAAACCATCTGTTACAATCAATTTCATTTATTATTCTCCATGTATGTTCTTCGTTATCTACTGATAACATATAGCCTTCACTAAAGCATTTACAATCTATAGAAAAACTTATTGAATAACCAAAATTTTCTTAATAAGCCCACTTATTACCCGGTTAGAACGCCAAAATTTTTTCATTGGTTTGCACAAATATTAGTCATTTCCAAAAAAGTGCGCACACACCAAAATTTCTGCGCACACATACTACAGAAATTAGAGGGAACATTGCCGGTGACACTGATCACTAACTAGTATTTGCCCTATTATTGAACGCGAAGTGACCATACTAATCGTTTTTGTCGTTATTGAATATAAGAAGTTCATATATATATATCGTTTTCATGAATGTGGTTGTTGTTAGTCTTGTTGTTGAGATGACGTTTTAGCCAAGCTATTATATATCTGTGCTATCGACCTGTTTTAGTAGGAATCGGAACCTTTCCAACCTTTAGATTCGACGCTCAACGAAAAGCAAATCAATCCCGATAGCGATTTGAAGAACAATGCAAAGTCCCAGCTTAGACTTTTGAAACAAGAATTTGGAGGCTAATTTCTAAACTTGAGAAAAAATGGACTTTAAAAATGGGGAATAAAAGGATGCCCATTTTGTCATTGATGTTATATTATTTATGTTAGAATTACAGAGCATAATGGTAGGGACGTGAAAATGGAAAATATATATATATACATATTGAAATCATCAAATTTGATATGTAGATGGTAAAGCTACGATACTCATTGACTTCTGATTAAAATGTTTCTGTTTATAACATTATTATTAATCGATAAAGGGGGCGGTGTTCAAACATCTAATCGAAACTGACTGCACACGAAGATGTTGTCGTCCCTCCACCAATCACTAACTACTTTATTATTCAACACTCAAGAAATTGAACATGTGTTTAGGATTGAATCCCGTAACTTTTGTAGACATGGGCTTAGGATGGAGTTTGTCTCAATATAAATGTTTAATTTGAAAAAAAGAATAACAGTTTTTATGTTTTCTTCTGCAATGAGAAATTTATTTCAATAACGAAGAAATAATTCTGTCACAACTGCATTTAAAGTACAGTGATCGATGACCCAAGAGTACGATATATCTAACTATATTTTAATTTTGACTATAATTAATTCTACAATATGCAGAATGAGAATCATACAGGATAATCCGCACAGAAATGAAATCAAGCTTCATATAATCGAATTCAAAGCACCCAGGATCACAGAGACATATAAATTTGCACAAAAAGCAAATTAGAATTTATTAATTAAGACAGTGAAAGCTAAAATAGAAATAATAAGCACCCACTATGGACATTGACTAATTGCGTTCGGATTGGAGGTTATACGTTTAGTACATAAAAGTAACATTTTCATCAAAAATGAGAAAAGTTTAAAAAAAAATAACGCTCAAAGAAAGAGATTTATGTTACACCTTGAGAGGTCGCTTCATTTTTTGTTTCTGGTGAATTTCATAAACCCAATATACATAGCTATAAATCTATGAATAATTTGTTTGTAGTAAGTAAACCACATTACATTTCAATTGACAATGATCGTACAAATTTAAAAGAATATAATTGTATTCCAATTTCATTCAAAAAATAGTTCCCCGTCTCTTTATATTCATATCTCCAATAACATTGCCGTGTTCGTCAAAGTTTAGTAGAATTTCTCCTCTTGCGTGTGATACTGCCCCTTCCAATGATAGGAAAAATGGTGGTTTGCTCGTTTCAAATAACGGATTCAAAGCTCTTCTTACAGTGTCTGCAAAAAAATAAAATTTCAATAATAATACAGTACACGATTAAGTTATTGAAGGGATTTTTTTCTAGTCCAATAAAAGGTATACTATGTGAAGCATTTCTCCTAACAATTTTAAATTTTGCTTATTGCTATGTGTATCGAGATTAGTTAGTTATACTTGGAGCCACAATAATTTGAATCGCCGCAGCCCATTGTTGATTTTCATTAAAATAATATTTTGCGCTCAAACTTGCTAAAATAAATTTCGCAAACTTCCTGTCGATATAGAGACAGTAAAAATTGAGTACCTTGCCAGAAAATATCAGTGAGAGTTGAATGGCACAATTTCAAGTTTTTTTTAAACTAACATCCAACATATTACGGATTTATCTGATTATTTTAAACAAGATGTTATAGATAAAAAAAAATTTAGTTCACACCTACCATTACAAGATGAAATTATAAGTTGAATATCGAGTGATTTCAAGGATGAAAAAAGAGATTTTATTGTCTTCGCGCCATCGTTATCAACGTAAGAACATGCTGGCATATTCAAAACGACGTGCGTGATTCCATACGCAAAAATGACGTCGGAAGAATTCGACGACGTGTCTTCTTCCTCTTTTGTCTTCTCTTCGTCTGCGTTGTTGTTATCGAATGAATTCCTTGAAAATGCTACTGTGCTTATTCCACTGTCATTCTCATCGTTTATTACAACATTTTCTCCTTTTTCAAGAGTAAATCCCATATTTTCGACTCCAAGTTTCGACTCGTCTGCCTTTTCTTTCTCTCTACGTTTTTCTGCTTTGGCTTGAAGGTCTTTAATTGCCGTCACCTCCCGAGATGGATCGAAACCTAATGCGTCAATGAGTTGACCTCTGAATCTAAAAATATTATAAATGATTTTTATTTTATTTATCCCCTATGCGACCCGGTACAAGGCCCTGCACAAGAAGCCAAAAAACAAATGTCATAAATTGAAATACCTAGGAAGTAGTGCAAAATGTACCATTGATAGTGTCTATTGAATACAATTATATCCTTGATCTTGTCTAGTCTGCCTATGCGTATTCTAATAACTGGGCACTATGTATGAATCATTTTTAGACACGAAATATATATATGGATCGTTTTGTTATTATGTTGTTGTTGATCATGTTGTTAGTATTTTTTTATTCTCGTTGTGAAAAAGTCGCTTTTCTCACTTGTATTCTGAAGAGCGTTCTCCTGTTTATTACTATTGACAATGAAAAATATTTAATAAACACTCATACCTTTCATGATTAGCAAAATATAAAGGTCCAGAATACGAAAATATGATAATGTTTTTGTCGCTTTCTCGTTTTGTTTGATATCTCTTTACATTCTTATAGTTGCCAGTTTCTTCCACTTCACCAAGTACATAACCATTTGCTCTGAAAGCAGATTTTATAGAGTTAAAACGTGTTTGAATATCATTGGAAGATTTAAAAAATATTCTACTTACATTTGTGTGTTGCAAACGACTGTGACAAGCTCGAATGAAACTCCCACGAGTAGGCCAATGTCGACTCCTAACAATACCACACTCAACCACGTGACCAACCACGTCACAGCATCAAGTTTGCAGACTTTCCAATATCCACTGATCTAAAACAAAACTTGAATAGTCGAACAAATATTATCGTCAAATCTACAGGAGCGACAAATAAAAGAGACTTATTCCATATAAAATGTAAAGATAATTGGTAAACAAACTTAGTTTATATGCAAAATGAGTAAATATCTCTAAAACATGATGTTCAGAGTCGTTGAAGAAGGTTTGACTATTTCAAGGTTCTTCATGATTTCTTTTAAATCATAAGTTAACATGCAAAAAGCGGATCGTCTCAATTGTAAATACTGGCAAATAAATCTCATTAGCTATAAATAACTAGTTTCCATATGGTTGTTGTATAAATCTACCTTGTTTACCTGACAATTTACTACTGTCATATACACCATAACGTATAAATAATTTCATTATGTTAACATACACAACTACATGGAACCAAATATTTTTTTCGGTGAGGTCATGTACCACAACATGCGTTCCTTGACCTAAGTCCTCAATAATAAATCGTAGCAAATTCGTTTATATATTTAATACTGTTGTTATATATCATGGCTTCTATTAAAAATATCAAAATTTTCCGAAATGGCTGCTAGTTTCCTGTTTACAAATTGCGTATATACTAAAATAGACCATACAGAGCAATTAACATGATGTAAACAAATATTTGAATACATACCTTATCGAACTGTCGTAACATACGTTTCAGATTAACAACTATGATGGCCGCAAGAGCAGCTTGTGGTAAAGACTCGAAAAGAGGTCCAAGCCAAAGTAAAATTATCAATATTATTGAAGATGAAACAAATCCAGTGATCTGAAAATACATAAAGTATAAAAAAGGTTTGAAAATAATTCATGAATATATCTTTGTAGTGAGGAAGGGCAAACCCAATGTTCACATCCACAATAATGAATTTTTTTCAGTGAAGTTTTCACAAGTTCACTTTAAACAAGTCTCTAGACAACGGGATTTAGATAATTTACGAGATACTATTTTAGAGAACATCAAAAGTACTATTTTTTGAATATCGAAATTTCTTTTCGGCATTGGCAATGAAATACATTTATACCATGAGGCATTAGATGGTGGATATTGCGTTTGCACTTCTTTTACGTCCTAGTTTTTTAATCAACATTCTTTAGAATGTGTATTCAGACAATACGGATAATTCTCTACAAGAAATAAAGTAAGAGTTGAAATAAAATTATTGCAATTCCAGAAATGGCGTTCAGCGGACAAAAAAAGATTAATCAAGTTACCTCTCTGTTTTTATTTTTCAACCATATTTCAGCGTTCGGAGTCACTCAAATAGTTGTATAGTAATATCAGTAAAACTGTGAACAATATTATCTTAATGATGTGAATCGAAAATACCTGTGTCTTTCCGCCAACTTCGTCCCAAATAACTGATCTAGAGAGGGAAGCAGCACAAGGAAAACACGAGAAGAAAGAGCTGAATATATTTGATGATCCCAAGGCCATTAATTCCTAAAACAAAGCACAATGTGAAAAAAGAACGCCGAAATGGCCAGAATTGTTATATAATATATACAAATAGTAAGTACATTCATCGCATCGCAAGTCCTTTTTCTACATTATTTGCATTATATTATCATTTGATATTTATTTTCATGCTGCTCATATTTACCTATAAAAGTAATAAAATCACAAAATTGAACCTAAACGAATTGCAAATTTTATTTTAATCATTTCAACAATGTTAACATTATCAAAAGTTTTTTCTAAAAATTTTCTGACAGCGCACCTGATTAGAATCGATGTCATAGCCGTGCTTCATTGCAAACATTTTTCCGAGTGAGATTTCTATGGCGTATATGACAATAGCTATAGGTATTGCTTCCAGCATCACTGCTCCAATATCGGGGCCTTTTGGTACTGACAGTCGAAACCTAAAGAATTCAAAAAAGGCTATTTATTTAGTCAACTAATAGGTAACATGTATTGCAGTATTTGTTTTGGAAATAGAACAAAAATACGAATCGTTGATATATATTAGGTAAGTGACTTAGAAATGCTTTATATTTTGAATGAATTCTTTTTTTTCACTCAACACAAGTGATACTGACATATTCTATTGTACTGACCAATAGCTAGAAATATTTGCCTAATAATAAATAGTCAAACGTTGCTGGGGATTCTAAAATATTAAACTTTGAACTTCCGAATTACTCGGTTGTTAACAGAGTCGAAACTGAAAACGGGATGCCAGTATTTAAAATCATAGAATTTCTTTTCAGTATATATTGTTTAGTGTGTGCTACTTTGGTATGCGGTCTTAGCGATTCTGTAATCTCAATGATTTTTGATAGAGTTAGGATTGGGAACTAAGTTCTATGAGAATGTCTTCTTGATATTTATTAAACTCATAGTTGCACGACTTTGGTATGCGATTGGGATCACGTTAAGTAGCGAGATCGCATGCCAAAGTGGTGCCGTTCAGTTTAAAGTCACGATAATGATAATGTAAAGAATTACCCTGTTGGGATGTCTCCAACTACAATGACATCATGATTTCCGTAAAATAATCCGTAATATGAAGCAATAGTTGAAAAGATTACGACCGCAAATTCCCACGGTATCGGGATTGGGAGTTTGTCATAAAACTTCGCGTTGATTTCCTTGTAGAAAAGAAAATATAAAAAAACGATAAAAACGTCTGAATGCATATAGGTTATGGAAAAATATAGAAACGGTATGTGCAAAATATGACGAGATATTGAACACAGGAAATAGGGAGATGGATAGATGGGGAAAGAGAGAGAGCAATGGGGGATGCGGAGAAAAATGAGAGAGAAGACGTAAATACCATGCACATGTTGATAAATTAAAAGATGATTATACATACAGACATACATGATGTGAGATAATTATAAATAAGAAGAATAGGATAAATGTTATACATTAAACTCAAATATATATGAATTTAACTCACCTTTCCAATTATTAACACAATAATGCAGATCGTTGACACTATCACCGTCGCCCAGTTTATTTCCGTAATATTTGAAAATATATCTACGTATGTCTAAACACAAATAAAATGCTTTGATTTAATAAACGAACTAAACTGAAATTTTGGGCTAATGTAAATTTGTAATGGAAGTTATTCAAGTAAAATAATAAGAGAATGGTAGGAATTAAAATATTGAACACCGACAAAAATAAACTTTTATAAAATAAAAAAAAACTTACGTATACGAGAGATAGTGGGCCCGAATATTTTTCCACTGTAATTCCGACAAGTTTCGATACTTGGGAAGTAAGAACATGAAAAGCAGATCCGCAAGTAAAACCCGAAACCAAGTGTTCAGAGAGATATGTTGTGATAACTCCCAAACGAAGCAAATACATTATAATCTAAAAATTAGAGTAAATTGTGGAAATATGATGAAAACCATGACAGAAATATTAATAAAAAAATACAAATAGGTTGTCAGTTCATGGGTACCGGTAAGGGCCTAGCTGAGCAACCGGGGAAATAGCGAGCTCATTCGGCCTCGTAACGACTTCTTCTACATTTTAAGCGTGAGAAATTCCTCACAGCAACAACAATTCGTGTCCAATAACAAAAATATTGATTGTGAATGTGAAGAGATCGGGGTCTAATTTCCTAACACAAAATTGACCGAAGAATGTATTTCTGCTGTAACGCACGGAGTTAAAAGAATACTTACTTATGGGCAGAGAAATGTACGACTAAATATGGCAATAATTAGTAATACCACAGAAACACTTCTTTATGATTGTGGTTCCTGGATTCCATGCAAAATTAATTTGAAAATATAACTAAAATTTGATTAAAATCTGATATATACCGGTATATTGAATAGAGAGTTTGCGACACTCTTGGGGAAAGGTTATATAACCTTATTCCAGGAGTAGGATGACGCTTGAACCAATAATCATACCTTACTGGAATAACTGTTTTTTAACTTTGTGCTCTCAGTCGGACAAGCCATGTGGGAACTGTTATCATACTGACTTCATATTTCACGATGACTATGCTCATTACGCAATTCATATCGAAAAACACGTCAATCTGAAGTCAACAAAGAGTATTTTCTGTCTAGCCTTGCAACTTTCATTTGCCCTGGTCTAATCAAGACAAACTGTTTAGGTAAACATCCGCAATACAAACATTTGCGTAATACAAAAATGTGACCTAATACTACAGGAGTACCATATATTCAAAAATATTGCAGTAGGTCGTTAGTAGTTTTTATTACGAGTTTGGGGACTGTCTGTGTTAGCCAAGTGAATATACCTCCTGCACATAGCTTTCAGTCCTTTTGCACAACTTAATATACGTAAAATAGGTGAACAAAATTAGTTACCGCCATATTGGTAGTTGGTACGCATACTTCTGGAGCGCTGTATATCGTACCTGAAGTTGTGAAACGACGAGTATCCTGCAACCAAAATTAAGCAACGCAATTTATTGGCTTCAATATATACCTGTATTATTCCTACAGCTACGCAAAGAGCAGCAGCAATTTCAATTTTTCTACTTAGGTATAAATCTTCACAATCGGGTTTCGAGGTGTTAATGTCTGCTGCGCTAGTTTCAGAAACTCCTATTGTCGTCAGCAGCGGTGACGTTGTTGATGTTTGCGGTCCGCAGTAATCTTCTTCTTTAACATGCTGTTGAATTATAAATTTGAAAACAACTTATTAATTTTGAAATAGTTTTCAATCTTTTAGTCAATCGTTGTTAGAAATAAAAATGTATGCTCGATTCCAATATCATCACAATACGGATATTTGGGGCAATACGGGGTTCCAGGTTTCGAAATAACTGCATCCGCTTTTTATCCCCACTTTCTTCGTTATGTTAGTAAAGTAGGAAGTCGGAGATGATTATTGTTATATAAATGTTGAGGTTGTTTAAATATGTAACATAATTCCGAAACATAAAACAAAAAATCGTGGGTTAATTTCGAGTTCGTCATATAGTTTCTGGCTCGGGTCGGGAGCCTCTCCTAACATCACGGATTACCTATTAGTATTTACGCTTACGTTAACCCAGACAATATATATATATTGTAGTATAAGACAGACACTCGTCCTCAGGGATCAATTTGATAAAATTTGTTCTCGAGATGTTGATCATGTAAACACGGGGTTCAGAGTATACGAAAATAACGTGATTGAATTTGGAATAGTTGTTTGCGGGTAAACAGAATTTTTTCATTTTTTATGTACGCTGTATTACGTTAAATATTCTTAAACCAAGCATTTTGATAAATTTGTTCATGAATTTACGGATGGCAAAAAATGAGCATCTCTGTCCATAAATAATGCCACATTTTTCATAGAATAGTAAAATTTCTGTAACTTTACAATTATACAGGATTAATAGCCTATAATCAGTTCTACGTCCTCGCAATGTAACCAGCACAGTGAAGTCGGAAAATTCACAATTGACTCTACCCCGGCTTCGAGTTGAAAAACAATTTTGAGTCTGACTACAACTCCAAACTCACGAAGAAATCAAATTTTGATGATAAAATGTTTTGGCGTTATGCAAGTCCTTTTTGACAGACAGTTAGAAACGCTTAGTCTACTTATTTTTATTATATTCTGAGAGACAAGTTGACTTCGATTATCATCATTATAAGTCTGAAATTCCGAGTCCGACCCCGACTCAATGAATTCAACATTTCGACTCCGATACGTTTGAAAAGATGTCTCTTCCACTCCACAGCCCTGATTTCGTATTTATGCTATTTGTAAAATGGATCAAAGATGATGCTTTAGTAAATGGATTACCTCGTCTATAACTTCTCCAACCATGATACAGATCACTGCAAATGTTCCAATAGAGTTCTGTCTGACAGTTCCAAGTATCGCGTACATTAGAACAGGAAAAAATGAAACATACAATCCATGGACTGGAGGTAACGATGCCAACATTCCGTATGCCATTCCTGTAACAAAGCAGCTTAACATTATAAAATTTTGAAGTTTTTTAATTTCTTGGAAGTCAGTAAATTTATAACAGTACAATTTTAAGATTTAAATACCTGAACCACCATGGTCCATCGTATCAGAAAATCGCGTCCAACAAATCTCACATTCGTAATTTCATTTCACATAACGCTAAAATAAAGTCAACTTCGACTTATGGTTTGGATTTGTTTTACACCTTACGTCTGAAAAACTTATAAAATACCTTGTGGTAAATGAACGATTCCAACAGTAAATCCACCAACAAGATCTCCAAGTAAAGAATCTTTTATGTTGTATTGTGGAAGCCAACTTAAAATGGGGATTAATGTAGTAAAAAATCGAGTCACTTTTTCGCCTGTGAGCATAAAAATATAGGGAAGAAAATGAAAAATAATTTTAATATCAATGCGCTTTGATTTTAAAATCCTGAAGTCCATTTTTATAAAAAGTAATTAAGCAAATGTAATTACGACAAAAGTATGCAATTCAAAAGAAGGCAATTCAATTTAATGAAAAACTTGCTTTTTTTTTTTTTGATATCATACTTGTTAAACGCGGCTCTAATGAAGTTTCTGCGAGGCGATGTAGAGCGTTGACTTCCTTACTATTTCTTTGTTAAGATTGTACGAATTATTATCCTTTGCAAAACGATTATCAATCCAAAGGTTTACCTGTCAAAGATCTGCATTTCTCGGAAAATATTTGCAAAAACTTATAGACGTCATAGACCTAACGAAACATCCAGCCTTTCATGGTTTGAAATGGTCGTATAGAAGCTCTGGCGGGACCATCGTTTAAAAAATCTTATTTCACAAAATGAAACTTACATGAACATTGGAATGTTTCTTTTAATGAGTTTTTAACACGCGTTTTGATTTTGACTTCCTCCCTTGGAATTCCATATCTTTTATGCAACTGGTCTTCGGTGTAGAATTGGTCAATATCAATACTTTCCAATCTAATATTAAAATCGTCATTTGCTGCGGCTGCAGCCATCGTAAGTCAATCACGTTAGCTTTAGTCAAAGAACGAAATTAAAGAAATTAAGAATCGACTGTTAGAATAGACAATGAAGGTATGTTAATTTAAAAATAATGCATGGAAAGCTGGAAATGCATACTGTTAAAATAAAGGAATAGTTTGTTTTGATTTGAGGAGAACTCAACATGTCGTATTTTACAATTCATAAGGCGCACTATAATCCTTTCATTTTCTCACAAATCGATCGTGCTCCTTTTAAGCCTGTGCTTCTAACGTAAGTTCCATGTAATGCTTTATACTTTATTGTCTAATATCAAAACCAGTACCAGAAATGGTTGCGTATTATAGTACTGAACTAATAAATCTAAACAATTTATTTACGGCACGCCTTATAACTCAGTGCGCCTAGCTACCAGAAAGTTGTGCGTTTAATCGTTCAAATTTTAAATAACTGCGACTGCATGACAAAACTCCAACGCGAATAAATGCAGAAAATTACAATGTAAAACAGTGTCAGATCAATTTTATTGATTAATAATAAGTAGTTTTCATAATTCTAATTATGATCCGCAGACAGTACACGTAATTTCTATCCATTTTTCAAAATAAATACAACATTAGACTTTTTACTGTGGATTGCATCCCATCTGTTATATATAAACTAGCTTTCGAAAATTGTTACTCGTGTATTTATAGCGGATCAAATCCATGTTCCATAAACGAGATCACTCATTTTATCTTAGGCTATATATATATATTTCGGTCACTGATACCTTGTTAATTTATTTGTGTTTCTGTTTTATTTTCTAGTAACCTGACATCGTTAATTTCTTTTAGAATATATTCCGACTTCCTCAACAAAAATTAACTGTAGATTAAGATTTAACATCTTAAGTTTTTAATCGGCTTACGAATAGAGATGAGGATATTATACATGTAACCGTGTCGTTCTAAAACCAATTTTAGTGAAATGAAAAGCAAACGTTAACGAAAAATACTTGCTTACGATGCAAATTTAGGCCGAACCCATATTACAAACGAAGGTTTGCTGTATTCAGATCCATTTTTATAAATACATAAACGTATTTGATAAATATAGTCGAATCTTAAATTTTATGATTGCAGTACCTGAAAAAACACAAGTATTTGTGCTCTCTTAGAGACCGGGTCAATTTACAACAGCCATAAAATACCATAATTGTTGACTTGGTCGGTTTCATTCCCTTTTAATTAACGCTCGGTTAAAACTACATTGAAAATACTTTATTACAATACATCAGCGACGCTGCTTATATTGCAGTTGCTGTAAAACCTATTTTTGCAAATTTCGTCGCTAAAGAGTCAGTTCGAACGAGGTTTACGTAATTCTCAATTACGTTCTAAGTAAACTCAATTCACTAAATAACTGGAGCAAATAATATAAATAGCATCATTAACCATAAGTATCATGTATAACATAATGATTTCATGTCATATGAGTGCGAACAACTTCCACTATACATAAATACAAATCCCGTAGAATTAGCTATACGCTCCTTGTATTTATGATCTCCCCATGTAGTTAAAATTAAAACATTAAATCATCGAAGATAAACAAATAAGTCAACGAAGACTGGTAGTCGAGTATGGGCTCCCAGGGCTTAGGATATGGATAAGATTTAGTCGTCTCCAGATTTTATTTTAAGATAATATTCAAACTATGACGTCTATTTTAGTGGTTCCCAACTTAAATTCCTCACTTCGCCTTCTTTAGAACTCTTTTTCGGTACACCCGTAGTATGTGAACCAAGATGGCGGACACCGGAACGTAGTATGTGTACTAGGTTGGGGTGAGGCCATAATTTTAGATACAAATACTACGGGAGTCACTTGGCTAGTCCTCGAACTCGTAATAGAACTAAAAGAAGGGAAATTGGAACAAAATTATGGCCCAACTCCAACCTGGTACACATACTTCGGGAGTACCTCTTATACCCCCCATATCCTCAGCTAGTGAAGGACATTCTCAACACAACTTGCTCTCTCGATTTTTTACAGTTCAAGTAATTCATAATATAAGCATAAATAAGTAATAGAGAACTAAAGAATTTTAGTAATTCTACAGCAAATACGAAGCCAGAGCAAAAATTCTTCTCGGTTGCGAAATGTTGTATTATTCGATTAGATTGGAACTACTCGAGAATCGTTTAATGAGAATTTCCATATAATCCGTATACCGTAAAAGTTCAAATCTTTGAAATAACCATTCCACACATTGGGTATATGTGGCTATATATGTACAGACAGATGCGTCTCTTTCATAAACTATTTTAATTTTTCTCGCGTACTTTAATTGAGTAAAGTAATTAAATTTTCTATATACACCAACTAATATTTATCCCACAAATCATGTGATTGTAAAATAGATAAAAAAATGAGATAAGCAAATGTTTATCATAAACTTGTAAAATCTTGACGCTCTATGTTTTAATCTGCCTACGAAAACGCCCATTTTAAGATGAAAATCAGTAAAGTTGTATTTATCTGCTGGTAAACGTGACCACTCATTCACTAAAATCTTCTAGTTTTATTTTGACTTTTTCTAAGATATATGTATTGTATTATATTGTGCGCACGCCATCACGATGCGATGAAACACAGATAAACACTAAGTTTTACCACAAATATGCCATAGTTCAAGCTTTACGTAAGCTGTTACAGTTTATACGCTTACCGCAAGGCCACAATTTACGGCACGCCTCCACCACGACCAAATTATTTTGTGTGAAATTTCTTTCAGTATATTTAGATCTGACAGTTACGAAATTGGATGTATTCAATAAAACGCTCTTTTATTATTTTCCCTCCCGCGGCATATTTTCGTTCGCCCAAATTTTTACGACTAATTTCCTTGCTGAACAATATTAACAAGCACATTAATTCTTGGAAAAGGTTTAGACAGTGCATACCATTTTTGCGACCAAATTCAGTAATTACAATTGTGTACTACTTATTCTGATAAATAAACCTACGTACATGACTGAAACATGTATAATACGGTTTCCCAAATTTTCCGTTCATCGGCAGCCCATGGACATTTATAGATCGCTCGTGTAACTCCAAAATTGTATTGCGTGTTATGATTGGACAAAATAAGAGGCGTTAACTGCAAAAGAAGACTTAGAAGATAAAAAATATTTTGAGGCATATTAGCAGTTATTAAAAGAATAGCCTTATACGTAATCTAATGTACCCCTTGAAAAGTCAAAATGTACCCCAGTTTGGGAGCTCCCGCTATAGTACAAGTTGGAAATTAAATTAGACATGCACGATAATTTTAAACGGTAAAATACAATCTCACAAGATTAAATTTGTTAAAAATGTGTTAATAAAGTGACCCATAGAGTATCCATTCCCAGGCCGCATAATTACTGAAGTAGACCAGAAGCTGACATAACACAGTTAAACTAAATAGCGTCTGCCCTTCTGTTGCACATAATGCGTGGCTTGGAAAGATGTCTTAAATTTTGTTCCTGATCTCGACTTAAAAAGATCTACCGGATTTACTGCTCTGCGCAAACTGTGAACCCGTTTAATTCAAAAACTTGAACGTTTCTCTTCCTTCCTACCGCATTCTGGAGTATTTTTAAACTGACACTCAATTCCGTCGCGGTCTATACCACACCGACGGTTTGCTCTGCTGCCCTACTAGGAAAAGAATGTCCTCTTTAGCCATCAAAACAATTCTCTTTTGCATTACGATCACGGGTAGAATAATACGTCACGAGGAGAGGGGTCATTCACGGACCAATAAAGGCGATCAAGCATGAACTACGTCTTAATTGACATAAATAAGAGCAATTTATCTATTGTTCACGCACGGTAAATCAAACATTGATAATATTAGAAGTATTTCGTTGTCATTGTTTGTTCATAAATTCAATTTACAAATAAATATCGCAATCAACATTTTGTAGGTCGAGTGACGCTTTCTCAAACATCTATCTACAAGGGTGACACAAAAAACGGAAACCCTACAATACGTTCTAAATAGACACGGTTCCGTTTTGGGGGGTCACCCTATATATTCCCATTTATCAATTGTATCTCAATTCCAATTTATGACTCACTTTCGTGATAATGATGGCAAATTCTTTTATGGTCTTGACAGAATTAACATTACAGTGTTAAAATTGTAAGAAAAATCTAGCGAGAGATAAGGAAATAGAGCTGATTTATAAACAACGATTTAACTGTCTTTGGTTCGCGTATATTGGTATTTTGCGTTGTGGCCGTCTAGGGCCCTAGGCAATAATCTTTTACGTAACTGCAAACAACTTGTTTGATGTGATATATAGTCTCGTGGTTATTCAAGTGTTCAAAATAAATGACGCTTTGACCTGGATAAAAACATTTTTGCTATATATGGATGCAGTAGGGTCTCATTTCATAGATGTTACGTGACCGACGACACATTGTTTTTAATTTCGCAGCCCATACAGAGTTCTCTCATGCAGAAAATTGTCACCAAATCTGTACCATTTATTGGCTTGTAAATTTTCACGAGAGCTTTCAATTGATTCAGGGTGGTGTTAAATTTCGCTCGCTTGTTGACCCAATTGTTGCATATCAAAGCACAATTTGTATCGTAATTGTTATTCAGTGTTTTTGCGATATTTATGTCATGACAATATTAATCCCCCCTCGTCTATATATACACAACAGATCGACGAAGAGTGGCTAAAAAACATGATATAAACCTTTGAACGAGATAATGCAGAAAATATACCACGAGATTGGCAGTACTTGTCTTTAGCTTCCCCATAAAACTAATCCGCTTTAATTGCGGCATCTCAATAGCCATATGCAGAGGAGGCCATTCAGACAGCGATTCGTCACGATTCCTAAATAATTTGGATTTATAAACAAATTTACTTTCCCAATACCTAGGGTTACCATATTTTTTGGACTTCAAAGCCGGACGCCTCTAAATACACGACCCCTTAGCTGTGATCTTGTAACTTTACAGTTTCGGATTTTACTACATAGGCCTACATTTAAAGCCATCTCAGCTGTCTTCATTGACCATGTTGTCATTGAGAGTTCATGCGCATATTCTCTGTCTAAATATCCGGTCCAGTTCGAAAAATAGGAAAGAATAGGCGCTAACGATACAAATGATCCGAATTTAGATTTTTTTATGTACAGCAAAAGGAATGAAGAATAATGAAATAGCCTGCTGTTTTCAAGCATTGAGAATTTACTTATTCGCCCAAGCATGCTTTTCTGTAGATAACACCTTCAAAAAAACGTTGTTCGACGTTACGTTCACGTCCGAACAGGACCAATTAGAATTGATTTTACATGTGATATGTTCGTTAACAATGTTAGCGGGAAATAAACAGAATAACGTATTCACCTTCAGTGAGTAGGCTGGCGTTGCGCAGCAACAACAGTAACGAGAACATGTTCGTGTATTATGCTGGATGGCTGAACGCCAAAGCGGGAATTTTGGCTGACTTGTCGGGACGGTGGGAGAAGATGCTAAAATGCGGGACTGTCCCACTTGAAGCGGGACGTATGGTAAGCCCACCAATACCGCAAGAGAAAATCCAGCCATAAAGAAAGTTTTAATTAAAACGTCAAGCAGCTGGATTAAATACTTTACTTTGAGATGTTTTGCACATTTGCGCTAGGCATGCAGAGATCGGAATAGAAACATATTTTATCGAACTTTTTACATTATTACCGGTCGCGGACATTCGGTTGGCTGTACTTGTTAGCATCAACATGAGAATTTGTTATAGAAATCAAATCGCGTTCAAATTTTTTTGAAAATATTTGCTCAAAGCAAGGTCACGAGAACTCACTCCAAAATTTGAATGAATAATTGAAGCTACAGGCGACCACTAAAATGTCAAGAGCTACCGACACTATAAAAAATAGGTCCTCCCGAAGTATGTGAACCAAGATGGCGGACACCGGAACGTAGTATGTGTACCAAGTTAGGGTTAGGCCATAATTTTATTCCAATTTTCTTTATTTCAGTTCTATTCCGAGTTCGGAGACTAGCCAAGTGACTCCCGTGGTATTTGTACCTGGAATTATGGCCTAACCCTAACCTAGTATCACACACAAAAAACGACTCCTTTAGAGGCAACAGTAATTTTGGAGTTTATAAAAGTGATAGCCTTCTAGAGAAAAACACATTTGTTGACCACTTCAGATTCTAAAGCAATTGTTCCAGTTGTTAATATGGAAAACTTTTTTTCATAATAACAAGAATAGAAATATAAAATGACAAAACGATCCACAGGTCCACATCATGCCCAATAATAACCGTCTAGAATTGACATCGGCAAAATACGGCGGGCTGAGTAATTAAATCTAGCCAGTCTTATGCTGCCACAACCAAACTAAAACCAAATTTTGTATTCCACGAAGAAATTCTGTTCTTGCCACGTTGATACTAACTACTGCCATGATATTTATGTAAGTACTCTTTTGAAAATCACTGCACTAAAATGTCAGCATTCCTGGTGCTGCAGCCGTTTCCAAATACACGTAAATCCCGCAGTAGATAAATATGGCACAGCAATTATTATCGAAAGAACAAAGCCAATTTCATTAATATAGTACATGATACTTTTGATGTTCGGCGTGAGCACGAAAGATAAATAGATAGCAGGAAATTGAAGTTATCAGACTTAAATTACATGCCCTTGATCTTATTTTTCAATTTATAATTTATCTAATACGAGATAGCGACGTCTGATTTCGGGAAATTGACTAGACGCTGATTTGTTTATACTTTTTTGTCACATAAATTCAATAGCCCATCCAGGAAAATATTTCGTTTAGCAGCAGAGGACGAAACTAGCAATGTATGAGTGGTTCATATTACTTCTAAAATGTACTTTATCGGCCACGTTTAAAACTTTGAAGAAGTTGTATGATGTTAATATACTCGTTTTTCAACATTATTGGATTTGGCGAAAGCTGGGATTTGCACGCGTGTGGGTGTGCTCAAAGGTTTGATCCGTTAAATATTAATCAGTATCATCGATCTTCAATAACTTGCTTCATGACTAGCCTGGGCATATCCGGAACATTGGTGTTTCGAAATCAAAACGAAATTTTGTCTTCAAAACGAAACACGAGTTCTTATAAGTTTTTCACAAACAATAAAACATGGCACCATTCTTACGCATAAAATTTAATGTATAATAGCAGATATTTCCGAAGTTTAAATTCACAAAAAGGAAGCAACTGAAGCTGATTCGAAAGCATGGAATAATGGTGCACCTCATGCAAATTATTGTTTCCACCAAGGTTTCTGCTTGATGACAAAACAGTGACTAAGCAGCGCGAAAATAATACGAAAACAGATTGTACAAGTGGAATTTCACGAGCTTGTATAAATGACAGAAAACTAGTAAACAATTCGAGAAACATGAGAGGAAAATAGCTTCTTTCCCATAGTTAGTTGTGTCATGCAGTTATAAATCAGCATTTTTCGTCAAATTCGCAAAGACTACTACATGTTTGACCGTTAAGTTAGACCTCAATTCACAGATATTTGAGATCGCTGAAATGAATAGATATTAGAGGACAAACCTTGACAAATTAGGATAACGCATTTTATAATTATGCCACCATGTAAGTGGATCAATGTTGATAGACTTGCATCCCGTGCCGGATTTATTATTAGACAAGATAAAAGTCTAGTGGCCTCGACATTCAATTTGAACTATTATTGATTTTTATTTTATTTCTTTCAAATTTTAAAGACTTGTCCTCGAATAAAACTGGTTTAAATTAGATATACTTTATATTTTAGAATAATTTTTTAATTGTTTTGATATCCGCCTCACAAATATATATTGTTCAATAGAATAACAAATAAAATAAGAGTCTAATAAATGTATTGTCTAAATTCAAAAAAACTCCCTCTAATCCGAAAAACAAAATATGTTAATTCAAATTAACTGAACGCGCGTATCGCGACTAATAACGGGTAATATGCCGTCGGCCGTCATTAGACGCAATTTAAAAAATATATACGTTTATTATAGCACATTTTACACTGCCTATTTTGGCGCAATAAATGATTTTTTGAGCCATTTGACGTCATACAGCGTGGTATAAGGCCTGTCAGTGTCCAAATCCGACCATGGCTTACGTCTTAGATTAGGCTCAATTGTTGCTTTACCGATGTATCAGATCCAGTGGGGTTATACGTGATAACGTTGACATATTTTTCATTAAGTCAAAACATGATTTCAGTTTGCATATGATATGACCTCAAAATATCCTCTCAAAAGTCGAAATAGCGCCGTTTCGACATATTAGTGCCCTAAGCATGACTGGATTGAGAATTTCATGGACATTGGGGCTATACGGTACTCGAACAGCTATATTTCATTCAATTCATTGTACACAACTGACCTTAATAAAGATGGAATGTGAATATATACACGAAGTATCAACTATACCTACCTAAATATTCATCAACAAATAATCAAAAAAAAAATAGCACTAGCACGTTTGTGTGTACGTGTCAAGTATAACGTATGCAAATCCCGTTTATCAATATTACAATAAAATATATGAGACAGCGATTTCCTTTTCATTTTGTTCACCGCGGCGCACGTGAACGAAAAAAAATTGCTGCCAAAGAATATAACTTAATTTTGTGATCGTTAATGTGTATTAGAGTAAAGACAATGTCACCTTTCATTCTTCATTTTTGCCTGATTTTCCCATAAAATACCCAAAAATCACCCATGTTCGGTAAGCTCGCTTCAGATGAAAAAACTGCAGCTAGCGGAATTGCGGAGATTAGTTTCTATCTTTATTGTTACGTAAAAACAGAATACAGAAGGGTGAAATGAATTTTTTGATTCATATACATGGCATTTAAAATAGAAAACAATAAAAATTTTATTAAAAATACATTATGTAAAATATTCAATCATATATTAGTTATGTTTAACACAATTATGTTACCGGTATCGGCGATAAAAGCGGTATCAGTATATAATGCATGTATGTGACCATATAGATGAGCATTGGTCGTTTGTTTTACATAATGGTTCTGGCAAAAGCTCCACAGTGTCTATTACCTGACCCTATTTTTGATGATGGCTTTAATAAGCAGTGAAATGAAAGTATCAGTGATTCAGTTTTATCTGATGAGCGAATTTGCCATTAATGGGCAAGATGTGTACGTGTATCGTTTTGCCAAATTGCTGTTGTTGCTGAAACAAGAATAGCTATTCTCCACAGCATATGGGCCAACTCCAATTTTTAGTACATACTTATAGATGAAAAATTCACTAAAAAGAAATTTACCTTAACGGAGTCCTGTGGCACCGGATATTTTGTCTCATTGAATTTATGGGAACACGATTATATTACAGATGGGAACACATTAATATATTCTTTGACCAGCGTGACCATTGCTCTTCTGTTTTACAACATAGCTCTTCGGAACAATCGCCAGAGTGTCTGTTACCCGGACTTATTTTTGATGATGAGCCTGGGGCTGCTGCGCCATCAGCCCTCGCCTAAACCCAATCCCGGCCAGTATTATGAAGTCACAATCAGTAGAATAAGGGGAGAAATTATTGGAGGTTGATAAAGCCAGTGATCATATAGGTCACCAGCGCCTTCAATGGTAAGCAACAAAAATAGAATAGGGCGAAAGAGACAGTTTCATAAGGTTTTTAACAATCGTGAGACTAAAGATTTACGGTTTTAATCTGTGGGGTATGACTTGGCTTGGCGTCAGTCAATTTAAATTTTCTTAGATGAGTCGAATCATGCCTTGTAATACAATGAATTGGGTGACAACTTGGAAAGAAGTCTAATCGAACCACATATTACTCGCCTGTATAGTACATGATTTTGGTATTTCAACGAATGGAATCATCCTGTATATTTTATCATGAATAGGACGAGCCAGAAATTGACCCCCTGGCCCCAACTCTGTTGTCACACGTTGTCACAATAGTAACTATTATTTGTATTTGCGTAACAAAAACACGTTCATTGCTATTCACTTTAAAAGTTGCTCTTGACACATCGATTAGCAGGTTTTTTCGACGGCATATTGGAATAATATATACGATTGGTTAACCGAATGGCATATCATTAGTTGAAAAAACGTATTTATATTAAGATATTTTTGTCGTGTGATAGTGTTACAATCCACCCGACTTCATCTTAGAATAATGGACCTGTTATGTTACGCAGCTGGATATTTTGTGACATCAGCACAAGCACGGTATGCAAAATATCTGATTGTTCTTGCTACTATTGTATGTATGACTCAAAATGCAATGTCAATGAATTCCACAAAATTTTTCGTTTAGAAAGTTATGGGACTTTCTTTTGTTCACGTTATATTTTATAACAGATTGTGGGTAACAATATGAATCTGTTGTATGAATCTGCTGACAAACGTTTCATCGATGGTTTCTTTGTAAATGGAAATTCCCGTGTTTTTTATAAAATAAAATACGTTTGAAGGAAAACTATATATGCATATTATCCGCGCGTAGAATAGTTTCCATTCACGACTATCAATACCCTGCGTTCATATTGTGATAGGAACCATCTATTGCTACAGCAAACTATCAGTTAGCGAATTCCAACTTATATATGAATCAGATTAGTACGGCAGTGTAAGAAAATTTCCGTAACTACCATCATGGAGGAGGAAGAGGCCAAAGATGATTCAAATAATACAACACTTACGGTGTTTCGTATTCTGTTCTGCATAATTGGGTTGTTCGGAAACTTCATCGTGATATTCGTAATAATATTTCTGAAGGAATTCAAGAAATCTGTTACTCACTGGTAAATGCTCATATTAAGTCAGTTTTGTTTATAATTAAAATTAAGTTTAAATGCAAATATTACTGAAACCAGTCTTTCCAAAATGTGCGACTCTTTGTATAATACATACATCATGATTCGATAAAAAACACTCGTTTGAAAAAGTTACTGAACACCTGAACACTATTACCCATAAAGTTTATATATTATAGGTAGTGTTTTTATTGAATATATTTTTAAAAATAATTTCACCCTGGATAGCAAACGATTGCGCCATAAAATATTGTTTCTGAAGAACTTTACAAACGGTAAAATGAATTTCTGTAAGTATATCCAAACAACTTTTTAAAAACTTCGGTCCAATTTACTCATGAGATGAATCAAAAACATTGTGTCAAATTGGAAATTCTTGCCTCCATTTGGTATATTTATTATCTTTTTGTTGCAGGTATGTGCTACAACTTGCTTTTGCTGACTCCATATTCCTGATGAATATACCGTTTAAAGTAATTGAGGACAATCATCAGAAATGGATATTTTCAGCTGGTTTATGCAAGATAAAGGAGTCAGTAGTGTTCCTAAATTACTACTCTTCAATTTTGTTTCTACTGGTGAGATGATGAAAATTAATGATGTGTTTGAGGTCAAAGTGCAAGTTTATACACCAAGAGTAATTCATTGGTGACTGTTGATACTGTCAAGTTAAGGAGTTAGGAATTTTGCAAGTAAGAAAGTGTATGAATTAATGTGTCCTTTAGCTGTGTCCTTGGGAGTGTTACTATTTTTCAACGGGGAGATTGCCTAGCGACTCTAGCCTAGCGCCACTTCAATCTTGGACCTACGAAAACAAATATAAAGGTGATATACACTTGGGGGGTACTTTCCTGAAATTCAGCAGGATGTAAACAATTAAATAAAAGTTTGTCCAACTTCTGTTTTAGACAAATTTTCTCTGTATAAGTGTGCACCTTTTGTTTGCGCATTTCCAATTTTAGAAGCATTCGAATAGAATATTCAAATTATCCATGTGTAATTTCAATAAATATAATACGCGCGACGCTCAACTTCTGTAACAACATCCCTAGAATCGGGGTGAAATATAATTCAGAACGGTTTATTTATTTAAAATGAATGTTTTACGTGAAGATGCCCCATTCAACTCTTAAACAATTTAATTGGAATTTATACTCGTGCCTTTTCGAATGATTGCATGCGTTGGATATGCTCCATATTCTCAGTCAGTTGGAGTTGTTACATATATGTTTTTATTAGAATTTATAAATATTTACCCTTTAGGTTATGAGCTTTGATCGATATGTAGCAGTGTGCCATGGGTTCACCGATTTTGGCCGAAAACTTCGTTCGAATAAAGCAGCGTATATCATCACCGCCGGGGTGTGGTTGTCGGCTCTTCTCTTATGCATCCCAGTCATGCTCTACAGCGATAAGCGAGGAACAAGTCCGAATTGCAAGTGTCTGTGAGTACTAATCATTGTTTGATATCGATGATGGTATTTTCAATAAAAAGTTACCAAAACGGTTACGTGCTAGGTTTGAAAAAGCAAGTAATCCACATTTTTTTTTGTATGAGACATAATACGACGCTTGCTCGTGCTTTTTGCTCCGATTAAGTCAGATAAAAACAGCTACCAATATCTAACATTATCTACAAGAATCTCTCAACATACTTACGCTGTTAAAGTTATCCAAGCGCGCATTTTCATCTATTTCGGTTGGTTCATTTGGTGAAAGCATTATTGATGGCAAGCCAGGACGTCAAGTTTAGAAATCGTTCAAGAATTGAGTAAAATGATGTTGGAATGACGTAAAAATTTAAAAAACACTGGCTACGCCTATGCACTTTATCAGTGTGGTAACACTCGACTGACTGTAGTCCACCACACATTCTTGATATTGCTTTGAATATGCTCAGTATTGGTCATTACAAAATGTTACTTTTAATATATTTTGTTGTTATTTTATGTTATACACCATTCAAGTTAGTTTACGCTATATTTCGTATCTACATCCTGATAAAAGTTGTTGGATAGCAGATAAAATCTACAGTAGAATTGCTGCATGTAACTCAGACGTTAAACAGAAAATCAAACACATTTGTTTAATACGACCGGAAAAGACAGCTCGGAAAACTGAGGCTATCAACCTCGCAACTTTTCTAAACTTATAAACTCTTATAGTTTATTTTATCTATTAGCTATTACCAACGGTTTGTGTGGCGTTCATCACTTGTCAATAACATTTCTTTGGTATGATGAAAATAATTCCAAGTAATATTATAGAACGATAGAGTCCTGTAGACTGGTTGGATTGCTAGTCAAAAACAGGTACTCTCCTAGCTGGCCTAGCATATGTAACAGGTAAGGGTTAGGCCATAATTTTATTACGATTTTCTTAATTTTAGTTCTAGTACGAGTTCGGGGACTGTCTGCGTTGGTCAAGTAAAGATACCTCCTCCTGCACATAAGTTTTAGTCCCTTTATCCGACTTAATGTAAAGTAGGCGAACAGAATTAATTACACATCTATAGCGCCCCTAAAACAAGCCTCTCACCGCCCATTATGGCCATCCAATTATTTATATATATACATTCAGATATGAATTTCCGAAATCGATCGAAGAGAAGTGTATGGCTTCGGGAGAGTCGATAGAAGAATGTGTTAATAAGACAGCTTTTATCAGCACAGGACCGAGTTGTATTGATCTTGAGGACTTCAATTTGACTGGGTAAGTTTTCTTTAAAAGTATTGGAATTAGTGGAAACAAGGCTATGTCGTCATTTCATTTTTTGGATTTATCATTAGGTACGGTAGGCCCAAGCCTGGGTTCTCAACATTCAATTCCAAACTATTCTTTACATGTAAACTGTTTTCAAATCTAAAAGGCTGTCTCACATATTTACAGTTTAAATGGTTAATAAATTATATACGTCGAATAAATGAATTTTGTCTTAAATAAAAAAGCCCTACCCGTTTATAGTAGAACGCTTATGGGACACGTTAGTGGACATAACGATCATTTTGCATTATTGTTGTTCTTATTCTTCTTGGTATCGTTATGAAAATTGTTTTTCTCATTGATTACTAGACCATTTGTTTTGAAATTTTCAGTGAGTAAAGATTAGATTTTACTTTTGTTTATTTCTAAATTACGTATGAAATCTGATATTTTGTCCAAAATTTCGCTGTAATATTTTATCCGTGGGAACACTGGTTTGACTCTGTAAATTCTTGCTACGCGAAACTCGGGAATTTTTTGAGGGTACCGGTAGCGTCAAAGGTAAGGACTGCTTCGCTCTGGTATTTGATCATTGCTCTCTTGTTTCCAAAATCAAATGGTAATGTTATTTATCAGTAATGTTTCATTTATTCGTAATTAGGCCGTGACCAAACCGTGACTAGATACGTATAGTATGACATCGGTTTTTCAGATGTTCAGACGTTTTACTGCATGCTTAAGTTTCTTAAAGTGTTTTTAAAGCCAGCTCATTCAACCATCTGCTTTTAGTAATTAGCTTACGTACCGTTCCGTATTTCACTCAACTAAAAATATACATTTATGACCAGCGGTGGGATTCAAATTTTTTGTCAGCCGGTTCTATCACGCTAATGTCATATTTTTCAGCCGATTCTGTTACAAAAAGTCATGTTTTTTTCAGTAATGCTAACCGGTTCGTTGATCTCATAAAATTCCGTTAGACGGTTCTATAGAACTGTTGCGAACCGACTGAATCCCACAACTGTTTATGACCAGTGTTAAAACTTAAATTTTTTGTCAGCCGGTTCTATCACAAAAGTCATATTTTTTAGCTGGTTATGTTACAAAATGTCATATTTTTTTAGTAAATAAAACAGTAATGCTAACCGGTTCGATGATTTCATAAAATTCCGTGAGACGGTTCTATAGAACCGGTGCGAACCGGCTGAATCCCACTACTGTTTATGGCATCACAATGCAGTTATACGCCACAACGCATACTGGAGCATTACGCCGTTGTTTTGTCAAAGATGTCTCTTTCAAAATGGGCGGGGGTGGCAAACAACTGACCGCCGTGTTTTTACGGTGACCCGCCAAGTCAAGAAAATAATCAAAAATCATAGACATATAGTATATGCGTAATAATGCAAGTGATATGTTCACGTCCCTTTACTTCGCTTCATTTTCAAAGTTCCTGAACCAATTTTATGGTTATAGTTAAAAAATGCATGCTAATTTACAGTGCAGTTCTTTTCTAGCATACACTGCCGTTCGAAGAACAAAATATTCTAACAGCAGGATAGTAGTTAATTTAATGATGTTGAAAGCCGATTAAAAAATATAATTTCCTTAGGGTACAGTTTCCTTCCAAATTCATTTGAAACCATGAATTGATTGCTGTAGCTTTAGCAACTCTTTTCTGTAATCTTCTCCATCCGGCCCTGATTCTAACCCAAACTTCGCACAAAACTCAAATCCTGTTACGAATATTTTAAGATATGACGATTATTACGAATATTCCGGCTCATATGAATATTACGACAACGATACAAGTGACGTTACCAACATGGGATGTACATATGCATTAAGTGGTCGATCATGGACAGTGTACTTGGTATTAAACTTTGTGATCATGTTCGTGATTCCCGTACTGGTGAGTGAAGTTTTGTCATTCAATTGTTCTAATTGTTAAACCTTCACTTATAATTTCTTTAAAATGCGAAGTGTTGTGTCTCAATTAAGGCGCATATTTTTAAAATCATTGAGTACATTGCAAGTGAAATGTACTAACCAAACCTAAAATATACATTCATATTGTAAAAATATTTCAAAATAGTCGTGGCAAAAATTATTCTCTATACCTATATTTTGCCTTTCTTGCTTTTATGTTATTATCTTATGTTCGATGGATATTTATCGGCATAATGCTCAATTGTTATATTTAATATTATATTTAAAACAGCAGTTTTTCCTTTGCATGCTTTCGATGAGTTTTCCTGCCGCACCAATTATTAAGACGGCCCAATGGGGTTTAAGGCAGATTCATTCAAAAATGCCTAATTTCAACGTAAAAGGGTATTCGCTTACAGCACTAGTCTCATTCGTCGTTACTAAATACCGTATTATCATACAAATAGTTAGTAACAAAAAACTAATTTAGCTATTTCCTTTTTTTAGGGAATGTCAGGCTGCTATTTCTTGATTTCTCGGGAGCTACGAAAACTAAGAATTCGTCGTTCCAGCGTTGTCAGTGAAACAATATCTAGGTCCGCATCATCAGCACATGGCAAAAGAAGTCGCTCAAAATCTGCTGCGTCAATTAAGGCGGAGAAAAACCGCATTCGCGTCACATACACCTGTCTTGCACTTGTTCTACTTTTCATCGTGTGTTGGCTCCCATATCATGTAGTTCATATGGCGAAGATAAAAGGTATCGTGAACGAATCAGTAAGTTGGCTTCATAACTTCTTATAGTGTTTTATCCTCGCAACTAATGTGATTACAATTATTTTTTGGCGACTGCTGAAATATTTCTGAGTTGGTATGTATTTAAGATGATAGTCAGGGCTTGATATTTTTTTTCCCATATTCTACCTAGTACATACTTTGTGATTGGTAATCATTGTAATTAAAAAAAATGCGAGTTGTTAAAAGTTCTATTCCATCGCTGAAATTGGTAATCTAATATTAATATAATGTAGTAAGAAATTAGTCATCGTCAAATTTGACACTCCTTTCTATAGAAATGAATGTAAGTAAAATATGACTCATTTTATTAAAAAATACCGATTTCTATCCATGGTTGGGAAACATCCGGGGTTATTCGATCTGAAACAGTTCGAGGTGAAATTGCTTACGTTTTACTTTCTTTCTTTTTCGGTGTCATATTCGTATTTCACAATATGCATTTTATTGCATTTGTCTACTTATTTTATATAAACTTTATTTGTTAAATAAACGAATGAGGCTGACGAATATGACTTGCCACAAGTGTACCGGTGCCGGTAACTGATAAGGCACGAGTCCATAAAAACCTGGTACACATACTACGTTTAGGCGTTCGCCATCTTGGTTCACATACTACGGGAGTATACCCACAAAAACACAAAACTATTACGTAACAAGTGAACGTCACAATGATCAAATTTGTGTTCTTTACAATGATAATTTAGTTATCGTCGAAAATAAGGTTATTTAATCGGAAGTCAAGTGCTTTGTCTAATCATTGCTTTTTCATTTTTTTATAGACTGAGTTTTGTGCAAGGCTTGGATCAACGACATCTCTACTGGCGTATATGAACTCGGCAGTCAATCCCTACATTTACAATTTAATCGGAACGAGATTTTTTAAACGATTGAGGTATTGTTATTTTGGTATTTATGCGTGTTTTGTGATGGCGCTTGAATTTTACTTTCTTTTTATACTGTGATTTATATTTAAATATATATACATACAAATATAGTTATGTATACAAATATTGTTATGTATACAAACATACTAATTTTTTATATTCAAATTTTTAATAACTTGCTTCAATACCCCAGGAGAAACTCAAGAAAACTCATGCATTAGAATATTATTTCCAATTTTATTGGGATAGAATTTTAAGGCTGATTCCAACGACATAAGTGGTTATAGCGATTTGAGAATCCCTATTGGCTCCATTGTATTTAAACTCATCTTGTACTCGTATATTTGCACCCAGGACATTTTCACATGTATACTGCATTCACGAACATTTTCATCTATATACAATTGCACTCATGCATACATTTGCACCCGCAGATTATAGCACCCTCATACAGATTGGATCTATGAACATTTACACCCACGATTATTTGTCCCCATGAACGTTTGCACCCACAGGTATTCGTACTCATGGAGATTTACACCCAAGGAAATTTGCACCCACGTACGTTTGCACCCATGAACGTTTGCACCCACAGATATTCGAACTCATGAAGAGTTACACCCAAGGAAATTTGCACCCATCACGAACATTTGCACCCACGTACATTTGCACCCGCGTACAATTGTACCCACGGACATTTCAGTCAGCGGACATTTGCACACACGTACATTCGTACCCATGAACATTTGCACCCGTGACATTTGCTCCTATAGACATTTGAACCCATAGATTTTGCACCCACAGACAATTGCCCCTGTAGACAATTACACCCATGGGAAACAGTCTTCGAATTGAACCAGGTTCCATTGCCACCTGCACGATCAAATTGTATGTAATAAATTCGACTATCTTTGTGTTATTTTTTACGAAGAAAATGATCGACAAAAAGCAAAGTGGGATATGAATATAGCTAGCAAAGACTAAAAAAGGAAGAATATAGGCTACTTGAAATATGTAATCTGTCTTCATTTCCAATATATTAGGTGTGAATGTGCGTGGTAACAAATATCCGTGGATGCAAATAACCAGGATTCAAGAGTTTGTGAATGCCAATATCTGTCGGTTCAAAATGGCATAGGTGCAAACGTTTATGGGTTCAAATGTTCGTGGTTGCAGGAAATCCATAGGGTCTAATGTCCACGGGTGAAATCTATATGCAGGTGCAACATTTTTGAATAGGTTTTCTATGGATTGAAATAAAGTGCTAACAATGCGTACATGTAGCTGAATCTGCACAATACAACATACGACAATCAGTTATATTGAAAAAAATTCACAAGACGTCATTTCCTCGTTTCCTCGAAAATTTCCATATTCACTGACAAAGTTAGCTTAGCTCAGGCGTTTTCTTGGTAAACTTCCTGCACGAAAAGACCAAAGAGTGTTGTCATCAGTCCCACTCTTTGTAGATTAAGCACGACTTCAACACTCTTTAAAAAATAATTTCGACTGGATCTAAAAGTAAATGCAGCCATGAAACTGTTATCAGAGTAATTATTGGAACTGTCCAAAGAAAAACCCTGTTCAATCAAAGTGTTAAATATGGGTATGTTTCAAATTGAGGTTGTGCAATATATACCAAACAGTCTATAATCTTTGCAAAAGTATGAACAGAAAAAATAAATTGCTTCCTCACGCTACTTCATCTCCATAACGTAACTGCGTTACCTAAATTTTATTTGCCTCGCTGACTTGCTTTGTGGTAAGTATTACAACATTGCATCGAACCATTTTGTCACAGATTGAAGATCCTCATGAGATGACTTCCACCCCAGGCAGGGTGGAATTACTTGGGAATGCAATGAAGCAATGACCAAATTTCATTTCTCCCAACACTTGTTTGGAGTCATTCTTGGAGTGATGGTGTAACAACTCGATACGAGTAACAGTTAATCTATCCTATAAGTCGACAAAGTCTGGCAGGAGTTTTTTAGAACACCAGTACTTGATTAGGGGCTGAAAAAAACCTATATAATGCAATATCAAACTTTTTTGAAACGATTGTTATAGTACACATGCACATACGTTTCAATACAATGCTTCAATGCAAAGCATATTATTCGATATACTGCCACTGTTTGTTTTTTTTGCTTTTGGTTTAATATCCTGCTCGGGATTCAAATTTGTCTTATTCACAGAAAACGGCTGTGTAAAAAAAATGCTATTTCATAGATCTGCTGCAGAGTCGGTTCGAAGGTCAGTTAAAAATCGAACATCATCTATTACATCTGGCGGGGGAAGAGTTCGACATACTGCGAAGAAACGCAGCATTGGAACGCATTCAGTAAGCAGCAGCATGACGGCAACAACAAAATTTAGTATGAAGTAAGTTATAATATAATATTCCCTTTGAGTGTGAATTGTGGAAAAAAGAGTGAGCAAGAGAGTCGGATATGTGTGAGTATGGGTATGTGTGCATTTGGTTATTCTTGAGTGGTAAGATATTCATACAATATGTATAATAGCGACCAAAATTAAACTGAAACCTAAAATTTTGATTTTCTAAAATATTCAATCATTATATAGAAAATATGAGGGTGAATCTAGGAAATCCTCCAGCAATGCTGAAGATGTTCGAGAAAAGAATCCAGAAGTTCAGAATCCTCTGGTTGAAACTCCCATCTAAATAGAATGTATCTATGCAATGCATACAGAAATTTGCTGATGAAAAATATATCGTCATTTTAAAATATTTTAATCGTTTTTGTTATACTATTTGGCCAGTCTATATTTTATGCATTAAAATTTTTCAATATGACTAAAAATTTTGTGATTGTGCTATACCAGATCCCATGCATTCGAATAGTGTATTATTATATTTGGGTTTTATACTGTGTAAATAATTTTGCACAATTTATACTCGATTTCACGATACTTTTCTTCCAAGTTGTGATTCGCAAGCTGTTAAACCAAAACGCAATTCATCTAACTCCCTAATCGATCGATTTCATTTGAAAATTTTGTTTGAGAAATTGTAGTCTATATATTTTATTATACCCAATAATAACTATTTTATATTGGAGCAATTCTGCTTGTCAATGCTAGCTCCGTAAGTCCTATCGAGACAGGGTCGCGATTGCGATTCTTGGTAATAGTCAACTCGGTCATACTTGGTTAAATTTTTTGTGCCAACCGTGAGAAAACACTGCTTATAACAGAGCCTTTATCGCTTACGAATCAAGCCTTGACTTCCATGCATCTCTTGGCTGTTGAGTCATAAGATTAAATTTTGACATAGGTTTCGGAATCCAGAATAACAAACATTTTTACGGGAAAAACTTGGCGCTTGCAATTTTTTTTATAAGTTATTTACTTCCAATTACGCGAAGAATTTTGACTTATACTATGGGAAATTTCCGGATAGCTCTAGGGTTAATCGAATATAACAATAACAGAAAAACGCCAAACTCTTAAGTCCTGATAAAAAATTTAATCAATAATAAAAAATATAGGAACATCCGTCTGAAATTGTAAATTCTAAATTGATTCGTAGCTGGTGTTGGCAATTATTGGTCTGTTGAAACTCCTGTATTGGTGGATTGTTGCTCTAGACACAATTCTGTATTCTGTGATCTTTTAAATTCTATTTTATTATTAGTCTCTTTGCTCTTATTTAAATCGGAGATCCGTCACTGGTAGTTTTGGAGCTTAACAATAAATTGTATCCATATAACTCATCACATACAATTTGAAGTTTAATAAAGTGAATTATTCCAAGATTAAATGCAACTTATATCGTATTTTTGCAACATTTTTTTTTTGAAGTGTGACATACTTTCCCCACCTAACATTTATTCTAAAGACAGGCACACATATACTGTACTGAAAAGACGGATTGATTTTTTTTTGCTTTTGGGAATATATTGAGCTTAGGTCAATAAGAATTTAAATCTAAATTCTCTTTTGGCTACACGTCATTTTAGACAAACATTTGGTAAAACCAAGAAAACGTAATTTTGTATGTCATTCTTGAAATATTTTTTTAATATTTTTACATTTATTGAAATATATAAAATATCTGTTTGAATATTTGTTTGGAAATAAAATCATTTTGTTTTTGGTGTGTTAAACTTAAGAGCTTATTTTTTAAGAATGACGAGATACCAGAAACAATGAAGATACTTTACTAAAATTGAGATTCGTCTCTTCTTACCAAGTAGCTGAAACAAATTCAGTAGCTACTCCCACAATCATTCTACATTTTTAGTTTTCGAATTCAAACATTGAAGTATTTACAGAAACCTGTCAGCAACCCAATGCTTTTTAAATCTCTCTGTCCTGCACGTGTTAGCCAATCTTTCTTAATATCGATATAAACACAGACCACGAACTGCCTCGTTTGGCACAGGCACGCCACCCCGTGGAACAAAATTGCACATTCAGTGAATACGAAGTGGAACTTTGGATCATTTTGTTGTTGTTAGTATTCCTATTTTTGTTGGCCTTGTTGTAGGAATTTCTTTCCAACTACTGGCCCAATTATACAATTGTCTGCGGTTAAAGATTGTTGATGTCGCTGAAAATCTATTGCTTTCATTTATTTCAAAAATTTCTGTGGGCTCTAATTGATTCGTTTTTCTACTTGAAGTTTTGCGTGCGACGTCATTAACATTTAATATTGCGCATGTGTAGCGGTTCCTCGATTGCCTTTCAGAGATTTGGTGATCAGAGAATACGGGAATTCTTTGATACGGAATCCTAACGGTACTGTAAAGATTTAATACCACTTCGTATGATCTCTTGTTTTATTACATATGGCGAACTCGGAACCACTTTGCCCACAATCATTCCTATTGGTATATACATTATCTACTAATAGCATTTTTGCACAACAATAATATACATTTGATTAAGTCCAAGTTGAGCACCGAATACACAAAATGTAAAATCAAAACAGGTGCACTATTTTTCACAAAAGTGCTAAAAGTCGAACAAACTATGACATTTTATTGTCATTCCATTGTATTTAATAAAACTATTTGCTATAGACGGAACCCTCAAACACAGAGTTGTCCTGCATAAAATGTCAAAATCTAGAGTGACTTCATTATTTTTCTACATTTTAGTCGTGCATAAGTTTATTTCATGAAACATCCAGAAAGGACAGTTTACAAGCAGTTTATAACAATGACAAGAAATGGAACTGCTTGTCTGAGGAAGTCGTCTTACTTTGGTCCGAGGGAACGTTACAGAAATACATGCGTGTCAGTGTGCAACAGGATTCTTGAATTGAATATAGCATAGTCTTGTTTAATCCGGCTACAGCTCACTTGCATCATACGTATACAAATTCACTATAACATAAAGACCAGCTTGTTATCTTTGGAGCAAAATTTTAGACGCGTTTCTTAATGCAAAGCAAAAGTAATGGTCAAACTTGCATTGAAGATTTGTTGTTTATTGGACAAGAAATGGACGTATGGATCGCTTTGCGCGTTTGTTGAAATTATTTATTGGTATTTAGGGACAAAATATCGTTTTCGTTTTAATTGAAACCAATTGCTTTGAAATCTATGACAGTTAAAAATAGAAGCGATCATAAATATGTATTGTAAAAGTGTGTCTGTTAACGTAAAATCATTTTTACCGCGTTCCCACAAAAAAAAACAAGAGAGCTGTGCTCAAATATATATGTGAACACGGAAGGCAAAGATAAATAATATATCATCAATTCTTCAAAAATCATATGCGGTAACTTACCAGTAGCCGTATCGGAATTCGAACAACTCGGCTACACCACACGGACAACTCGACTAAACGGACAAATCTCAGAGACAACTCGGCTAAACTGGTTACCGGTGACGTTACTCCAGCACCTGTCGTAGCTTTTCAAGTTCCTGTGACGATGGTCCATTCTTCGTGATTCAGTATCCGAGTCCCTTCTGTATTACCAGATCAGGTCCCACAGTCCACCGTTCCCCCTAAAAAACTTCCCACTTTCGCTAAGAACCAGACACACTGACGTTCGCGGAACCGCCGCAAAGACAAGGTGTCAAATTTTAGTGGCGTCATAGCACACAAAAAGTAATAGTCTTCTAGCGAAAAATTCTATCTTTAACAAGTGAAAATTTTAACGCAATTGGTCCTGTAATCAAAGAGAAAAGCCACTTTTCATAACGATTATATTCTATGTCAAAGAACAACAACAACATAATAACAAACGATCCATAGGTCCACTACGTGTTCAATAAACTGTCTCAGCGTTCGTCCTCGCAAAAATGTGTTCTCGCTAAACTACATTTTCGTAAATTTTCAGTCTCAAATGATGCGAATAGAAGGATTTTCATAACAATCCATAGCTAACACACTTTATTTGATTCCCAAATATTTTTAACAGCTAATATTTATGATGAGGGAGAGTGGCGGTGTTTGGTGGAAGAATTTGAAGTAATTAAAAGAGAAGTTTGACGGAATTTGTAAACTAAGTTTCCTCCAATTTCTGTCGCCCACTTCGTGTGCATTCCTCTGGCGAGCAAAACTCATATATATTATTATGTATATTTTGCATGTACATTCATCATAACTCAGATCAAGAGCCTATTGATTCTGGGCGAATTATGTCGTATAATTAGCGAGGTATTGATTAATTAGTGATGGGACACAAGGTGTCACTATGGAGTAAGAGCGCTGTTTTGAGGGATCCCCTAACTTTCGATCGATATGTCTTCGGTCTCTGACGGATATTCTCGGTAACATATCATTACATTACATGGTTTTGCTAATTTTTTCCATGAGCACTGAAAATATATTTTATATTTAACTACATGACCAATTTTTAATAGTTGAGGATGGAAGTATCTCCTGAAAGACTATTAATTTCCGATTTTGCCAAATAACGAAACACTTCTAATTTTGCTAACTTCATAATAAATGCGTCATCATAATAAAAAGGAATCGCTGAGTATAAATAACCAGTTACACAAGACGCCAAAAAAAAAACTTAATATTTGCATGTTGCAACTGATATATCTAACTATGGTTGTTATTCCATTACTATTTAAATTTTGTTTAGCTTATTTGATATTGGGTGGAGTGCCCGGATACCTCAATTATATAGGAACTATAATCCAACAACAGCAAAACAAAGAAATCGAAATCATAACGCAAACGTTGTCATGGTAAGTTTTATCGTAAAACATTAACTTCGTGAATATTTCTTCCAAATACGTGATGCACTAACAGCGAAAACTCCATTTGTCACGTGAGGCGGTGTTTTCGATACTATCATGTACCTATAATCACTTATAACTTTGTGCCAACTAGATTTCTAAATAATCAGATAGTGACACTGCGGAACCCTGAAAGTCACATTGGGCCCTAAAAAAGGTAAATTGAAAATATCTAGTAAAACATATCATCGGTAAGGTAAGCCTATGATACTGCTGTAAGCCGTGTGCCGAAAGCTGAACGAAAAAGTAAGCTTTCTGACTTTTAATGTGCTATTGCAATTTTGTAATTTCAAAAGTCAAAAGAGCAGTACGCTAGGTCGAACAAGATCAGGGATCTTGACTTGGTTATACTATACTTTAAAATATTTTTGAAAGAACGGAGCTGACCCATCGGAAAGAGGAAATCGATATTGCTGGTAACGAGGGTGTAGTCAAATTAATTTATGCTTAACCTGCCTATCAGATATTGTCGACTACGGCAGCTTAGCATTTACGTTCGGCCGTTTGATCAGTAAGTCCGGGTATTACGCTCGTAAATTTATCAGGTGATTGTCTCAAGTACAGCATAAAATTTTACTGTCAAATTTCTTATACAGTTGATTGCTTATAAGCGCTACAAATAGCGATTTCAAGTACTTTCATACGTCTGTAGGCTTTTTATTATCTCCCAATGTTAGCTTATCTCTGACAACTTCAGATACGTGGAAAACCTTACCGATGATATGTTTTACTGGTTATTTTCAATTTTAACTTTTTTAAGACCCAATGTGACTTTCAGGGTTCCGCAGTGTCACTATCTGATTATTTAGAAATCTGGTTGGTACAAAGTTATAAGTGATTATAGGTACATGATAATTGATAATATTGAATGCTCTTTTTTAATAGATATAGTGATAAAATAATATGGAATATATTCAATCAAAACTTTGTTGAAATTCCACTGGAAGGCCATGGTGTCTCCTATGCACCCAGTTAGGGTGAATACGAAAATTAGAGCAACGTTGTGTTTTCAACAATTTTCACTAGCGTGTAAATTGTAGACAGTTCTAAAAGACGAATGTCCAGTATGGGGGTTTAAAAGTGGGGTCAAATACGTCGACATCGCGGTTTAAAAACCCCTGGTCCAGACTAATCGACTGTCACGTCCCACAAAGTGTAATCAATTGGGTTTGTCCCGGAAGATTTTGAATCATTCAAAACATACTGCTTATTCGAAACTTTTAACCAGAGCCTCGCATCGTGCTACTTCAGTTGATTTTCAATTTACTTTTTTTAAGGCCCAATGTGACTTTCAGGGTTCCGCAGTGTCACTATCTGATTATTTAGAAATCTAGTTGATTCAAAGTTATAAGTGATTATAGGTACATGATAATATTGAATGCTCTTTTTTAATAGATATAGTAATAAATTGGGTTTGTCCCGGAAGTTTTCGAATCTTTTAAAACATACTGCTTATTCGAAACTTTTAACCAGAGCCTCGCATCGTGCTACTTCAGTTGATCTTCGTTTCACCCTGTATCAACTATTATGGTTTGAACATGCCGTTGTTTACATTTTTTATTTGAAAAGTGAATTCTGCCATAATTGACGTGGTACAGAATGTTATATCATGTCCATGAATATACCGCAAAATGGTTGAAATTCACACTCTGTAAATAACTTTGCGGTAAAGTGTTTGTTTATCTTTTTTCATTGCCATTATGGCATTAAACGATTTATTTTATGTCCGTTGAACTATTTAATAAGAGCTATTTCTGTCCTGATTGGTCCTCGGGGCAAAGCATTCGACA